ACCACGTGGTTAATGAAAGGGCTATTTTGAACTACTAAGTCAACTAAGGCGTGTCTTGTCTGCCTCCAGGTAAAGCAAACATCAGCGGCGTTATTGAGCCCTGGGAGAGTGTGTGTGTGCTAGAGAATTAAGATTGACCCAAGTCAGTGGTCAGAGGGTTGGGAAGGTGACGTGGATTTCCAACCCCCCACCGACCCCTCCTGCAAACCAGCTGGACTGCGAAGTAGCCAGTGGCTGGCAGTACAGAAAGTGGGTTCATGAACCTATCTGTGCAGAACTTTGAGTGCTTGGTGGGGTTTCTCTTGTGTAGTTGTCTGACGAAGCCATAACACCCCTTTAAAAGGAAGAGGACATCTATCCCAATGCAGGACTCTCCTTAAAACGTCTCTAAAATCGGAGGTGTTTCCCAGCAAATTAACAACAAACATAGATGAACGTCATTGCTGTAGAACTGCTTTTTGTTTAGTTTGTTGTTCTTCCGATGAGCATGGTTGGCTATGTTCAGTGCGACAGCAGTTCAACATACATGACAAAGGGCTGTACACATACAATGTCGAGCTGTCGGGAGGGACATCCTAATCAACGCTCAAAGTTAGTGACTTCCTGCTCGAGTGAGCATTGAGGCATCGGTGGCCATCTCCTGTTTACCGATCTGACCCAAGCGATGTTGTGATCGAAACGTCGTCGTCTTTTATTATTTGGTATTTTCTTTACCGAAAGACCCAAATAATAGTCCAAATACTGTTGGCTTCCCCACAAAGCGGTGCGTATTTTATCGATTATGTAGGGTTAATAGGCTGAGTCAACCCCCAACAAGGATTTAAACGCACGTTTCAAATTTAAAGCTCCTCGCTCTACCGCTAAGCAACCTTAGATGGCATTGGCTCGGCAATGCAAACCCGTGCCCGTCAGTGCTAGGGAATATGAACACCGTAGAGGCAAGCGTGCACATCAGCTTTAGGGTATGTAATATCCTGCTGCTCTCTTGTCAATACCAGACAGGCAGGTGCCGAGTGTGGCGCCTTACAATGCTCCTCTCCCTTCCTTGCCGCAGTCACTCGAGCTGCTGCTGCTGGCTGCTGCGCGCACACCGCAGCAGCAGCAGCTGCTGCCCGGCCGGACTTTGCCCACCGAGGCGTCGCTCGCGTCGCGCGTGGGGCACGCTCGACGAGCGGGCGGCGACCGTCGCCGGGTGAATGCCGCGGTGGCAGTCGGGTGGACGCTGACGACGCGACGCCGGTGGCGTCCTTCCTCGGTTCTTCCACTCTGCTCTCAAACGGCTGGCATTGTTAGGAGAGGGGCGGCATTGCTGCGGTAGTTCATTGTGCGTCAGGGTGCGCTCACCGAGGAATGTTTGCGTTGTTTTCCTTACGCGCAAAAAGGCCAAAGTCTTGCGGCAGTTGCCACGTGATTGCTGGGACAGTCGCTGCGTGAGATGCTCGTCGCACGACAGTGACACTCACGGCGACGTCTTGAGGAACCTCTGCTTAGCTGCTGGATGGCAGCCCTCCCACGTGTCAGTCACGGGGGTTGTTTGACCATACTTCACCTTGTTGGTCAATACAGGTTGGTGATGAAGCGGGGGGTGCCCAGGGTTCATAGCACAGTGTGCCAACCACTGTGCCACCGCTCTTCCCGGGCTACAATTGCATGTCGGTAATAGTTGTCCATTACAGTGTAATAGTTAAGCCCGTACTGCTGACCCTTAACCGTCGCTATAATGCTCTGGGGCAGTTTGCTGCAAATGCCTCCTCCTTCTCCATGGAGTGCAGGGATTAGTCTCAATTGGCAAGGGTAAAGGCGGCTTAGCCCTCTGTGAAGCAGCAGCATTGTGTCCACCCAGCGTGTGCGTGCACGAGGAGTGAGAGAGCCACCTGGGTGCGGGGAAGGGAGCCGGCTGACACACGTGGACGCGTTCCTCCGCCAGTTAATGTTTAATGACCCCGCGTCGTCCGCCTGTCTCTCCAAAGGGGGGAGGGGGGGGGGCGAGAGGTCAGGTGGCTCGCTCACGTGCCCAGCCCCCCACCAACCCACCTACTTACCTACTTCGTTACCCCCCCCCAATCAAACTCAGGTTGCCGCCCTCTACCCCGACCCACCCACACATTCGCGATGTCCACCTTCCCCCGCTCGTCGCAGCAGGCACCACCACTCGACGAGATTGCCAGGCAACGAGCCACTCGAGTCGCACGCCTTCCCGCGGCCAAGCTCGCCGAGGGGGCAGCTGGCCGATTGGCCGTGTCGCCGAGCATTGCCGTGCAAGGCCCTTTAAATCCGCCGCGGTGTCTAAGTTGCGAGGACGCGATGTGTGCGTGCGTGCTGTGTGCGTGCGTGCTGCCATGGTTTTTTTGTCACTCCACCGCTGGACGAGTGCCACCCCCACCCACCCTACGCCACACGTGGTGATTAAGGCATCGCATTGCACAAGTTGACATTGGTGATCACCGCTGTAGTCTGCACTCCTTCAGCGGAGGAGGAATAGCAAAGCCACACGAACTCTCTCTCCTGATGCCCTTTCGTCGTGGCTAGCAAAACTCCTGAACATATCGCTGCCATACGCAACAACAGAATAGTGACAAAGTAGGTACTTGAGTATGCTGCACGTGCGGGTCGTGGGGGTTGTTTGACCATACTTCGCCATGCTGGCGAGTGCCGGTTGGTGAAGGCGGGTGGGGGGGGGAGATATTCTGAATCGTAGTACAGTACAACAGTGGATGTTTTTTTCTGCACTGTCCTCTGATGCTGACCATGGAGCCCCGCAGCGACGTTGTCCAAGTTCCACCGTGCTCAGCCCGCGAGATCGGGCACACTCCCAAGCACAAAAACACCTCTGGTGCATTGTAATTAAAATGCAAAATCACCTATCACAAATATATATTTAACACAAACGATAAAAATTCCAATGCGTTCTTTCAACTGCCAGGGAGGTATAAAAAAAAGCCCTGCGTAGGTCGTTAGCATTAATGGCGCAATTTGTGCCGGAGTTGTCGACTCGCTCCTCCACTAACGTGAACTCTTATTGATTGTGAAAGGGCCCTGACTGGTTGACGTTGCTTTGTGTCGCGGTGGTGTCGATGGTGAGCTGGGCAGCACCGCCACCGAGCCCTGGGACCCGGGGGGGGGGGGGGGCGTTGAGAAACAGGATTACCATCGTGACACCGCCCTGCCCGCTTTGGCTCCATTCCCTTGCATCACACTCCATGCCCGTGTGTGCGTGCGCATTTGCATGTATACATGTGTGTGTGCGTGTTGCCGTTCATAGGTACTCGCTAACAACAGTCTGTTTGGGCTATACAGGGGGGGGGGGGTGGAATCTTTGGCTTGTTGGAGTGGTGGCGCAGTTGATGAGCACGCTCTGCGAGATGATCACGTGGGGGTTGTTTAGCAATACTTCAATGGAGGTTGATGAGGAAGGGTTCCTGAGGGCCCGTTCGGATATCACTCGCCACCCTGACGTCCGCCGTGGCTTCGTAGCATAGTGCGCTGACCGCAGCGCCACCACTCCACCCCCACGTATTCATTACTCAGCTCAATTTTAAATGTTTGGACGGCGTAAAAAAAGTAGGTGACCACACGACCATAGTAACATTCAATGTGGTGGTGGGATTTTCCAGCCGTTGGGGGGGTGTTTGTTGTTGCTGTTTACGTTCCGCTGGCGGGTCAGGTGCGCCGAGGGATGCGGTGTGCGCTCGTCAGGCTCTGCCACTGCTGGGTGAGGGCCTCCTCACTCGCTGGCGGGTCGTGGGAGTTCAAGTTTCACGTTGGGTTTGTTGAACCAGATGAGAACTCAAGAGACCGGGATTGAGTCTCATTTGCAAGCGTGACCTCGGGTCACCGCACCGGCTAATCTGGATTTGTCAAGGAAAGGTAGCACCGCCGCGGGAGAGTAGAAGTACAGTACAACAATGGCTGTTGCTGCGCTTTCCTCGCTGCCCCTTGGCTGTTGCACGTGTGGTGGTCGCCCATCCAATCGCTTCTCAGGCCCAGCTCTGCTGAACCACTGAGATCCGACCAGATTGGGCACATTCCGGGTGACTTGATCAAAGTGATAGAAGTAATAATAGTGGCGGTGTAATATTTATTATTAATATCGTGGCATTGCAATGCTGCGAGGGATGGTGACTGTGGGGAAACCATCATCCAGCGGTGGATAGATAATGGCTTATGATGAAATACAAGAAAGGTACAAATTAAGTCAGAATTGTCTTTACAGCAATATGTTGTTCATTAGTTCTACTTCAAAGAGGTGAGCATTTAATAAAATACCCTAAATGTAGTGCAGAAAAGACACGCAAAGACTCTGCATGGAATGGCCCATAAACTGCACCAAGGACCCTCTTGACGAAAGGCCTTTGGGAATCATGAAGTCTTCTATGAGTAAAGATTTGTTTTTAACTTGGCGATGCTAAAAAAAAGGACAGGGTAAAGGAATGTCATCCCTCCTATTAGGAATGCAAAAAATTCCCGTCTGCTGAGTTGCTTACCGATTTAATTACAAGGGGGCATGTGGGGATGGGACGATGGCATAGTGGCTAGCACACTGCGCTCTCTGAACCCAGCGTCAGGAGTTTGATGTCTGACCATGGCTCACATCAGAGGCGAGTGATATCAGAGCTGCACCTGGTCACCACCGCACACTACGAATTTGTGATACTGGATTGGCAGCGGTGCACAAGCACAAACAACATACATTTAACATGTTCATCAATAATATTGCCCTAAAGAGGCAACATATAATAGCGGTGACATTTCAGACAAAGGCCCTTCATAGCAGACCTGCATTGACCAGCGAGGTGAAGTATGATGGAGCGAACCGACGCTGCGTGGGGAGGCCTTCATCCAGCGGCGGATTGACGAAGGGTTGAAATCTCCGTGGGAGGGAGGTGATAAGTGGCGCTAACGGCTTTTAAATCCACGATCGCTGAGCACAGGCCCAGAAACTCGCAGCACCAAGCGGCCAGCAACAAACGGCACTGCTCGGTCTCTCTCCGCTCCCACAGAAGGACCCCGCCTTCCTCCGCCAGTGGCTGGAGATCTTCGTGGTGACACACGAGGCCTCAGCGCTCGACCAGGATGTGATTCTCATGAGGTACGTCAGTGGATGGGGGGCGTGGGGGGCGGGAGTCAGTGGGGGGTTGGTGGGGAGTGTAGAGGGGCAGCCGAGAAGGTAGGAGAGTGGGTGGTGGAGGGAGGGAGTGAAGCCCATTCAATAAAAAATGGTGGATATTTTAAAAGTGGGCTGCATTGTTTTGTGCTAGGGTAAGCAAAACACACTTAATTATTACATTTCGATGATTAGTTCTTGGGTCACTAAGTTCCGTGTCATTATGGCAATGGTTAAAAACAATTGTGCCGCAATATATGTTCGCGTGTGGTTTGTGTTGGTTAGCAGGTACCCCCTGAGGGTGAGAGCAGCTAGGCTACGTCATAGTTTGTAAGCCGCACAGTTTTGACGTAAAGCTATCACGTGGCCTAACCCAAAGTTGGATCATCGTATTGCCCTCTAGAAGCCTACACTTTGAGTTAAGCCCCACAGTTGTTGCGCTTAAAGTCGGTGAGGTTATACGTGAGAGAGCGTACATAAATAATAATGCGTGTGCGTTGGGAGGGCATGCATGTTGAACAATGGATTGTTAAAAGTACACGAAGGCCTAAACTTATCGCTAAATGTTATCAACTCATGACATAATCCGCTGTGTAAGTGGTGCACACTGACACGGTCGCAAAATAAATGCAACTTGGGTCAGCGTGACTCTATTCTCAAGATGCTGTCACTGCTTCTAATAATGGATGCAAAAAACCCTTAACACGTTCGTCAATAAGATTTCCCAAAAGAGGAAAACACACACGATGTCATGCAATTTCCCATCTTTGTAGCGTAAGGCCCAGTGCCTATATAGGGTGGCCCAAAGTCAGGGCATGTGGTTATTTAATTTATTTTAATACTGGAATTAAAACATTTTAATTGTTAATTCTTTAAGTTCATATTTTATCTACTATCATTATCCATGTCTATTTCTCGTCGTCCCGTGGGGTCACCTCAAATCGGGCGTTTACAAAACTCGAGCAAGGACCTACAACAACACGTAATTGTTGAATGTTCAAAGATTCCACAGCTGTAATATTTTTAAAACGTCTTAAATTCAATTCAAAAGAATTAATGCATGAATCAATGTTAGTGGAAGTCAGTTTGAACATCTGTTTAAATTAATGAACTATAACCCTATGTGACCTGACTTTTAGGTATCCTGTATATTTTTCCTATTTAGGGCCCTGTTCTTAACAAAGTGTTGAATGTTGTTGTTGTTATTTGTGCTTGAGCACCACTGAAAACGCAGCAGCATCACAAATTTGTTTGGCTGATATTGAATGCATGACTTGAAACCAAAAATATTAATTTATATTCCAGGTTCAACTGTACTGTAGACACACTACTATTGCCTTCGGTACCTGCGCCTGGCGGGGGTCTCTCTTGGGTCGACTCGGACTAAAATGATTTCCCGATTTGTAATGTGTGAGACAACATACGCTGGGCCACGTGTGCTGCTGGCCACACTTCCACATTCAGAGGGAGATAGACATCTCTGGTTTACAAGCAGCTGAGAGCCGATTAAAACTCAAAGAACTCGGAATTAAAGGTCTTTCAAGGAAGACCTGGTGCACAAAAGCAATGTTTATTAAAGTGGAACACAGCGATACAATGCAAACAAATAAGACCAAACAAATAAGAGTCTGAATGTTAAGAATTACAACAAAACTTTAATAACATAAGTGCAATGTAAGATTTAGCTTACGATTACAAGTAAGATATGTAATACAATGAGATGTAAAGTGTGATTCGGAAGCAATTACATTAGCATTTCGCTCATAAATGTCATGCGGCATTTCTTTCCATGCCAGGATTTGTATTACGCGCTATCAAACAGTGCTGGCTCTGTTGTCTACACAGATACACGCAATTATGTGTGAATGTGTGGTTAGGTACTGGTTAGCACTCCGTGCTCTTAATCAGGTTACATGAGTTCGATTCCCAGCCGCTACTAACATCAGTGGCGAGTGATAGCTGCACCAGTCCTGGGGCCTTCCCCAAGGTCAGTTCAGCCTTGTAATGAGCACCTAGGGCAGTGTATAAACATCAGCACTGGGGAGACAAAGGCAGCTGGGTGTGGTGCTGGCCACCCACCCCATCGTGTGCCGCTCTAACCATAACAGGCGCTCGCTAACAGCATTTACGTAAATATCATTTTAACTTCTTTAACACTGTCCGTAGCCAACCGTGCGAGTCGGTCTGCTAAAGGCGATATGGGTGCTCTTTGTCCTTGTTTGTGCGTCGCTGTGCAGGGGGGACCCACGGCCCCCCGACCTCTCGGTGCTGCCAGCCAGCTTCCTGCAGGTGTCGAGCCAGCAGCTGGTGCAGTGCGTGCACAAGCTGTCCGTGTGCCTGGATGACGAGCACCTGTCACTGGCGCTGCTCATCATCAAGGCCCTCATCGCCCTGTGCAGGTCTCCGTGACTCACGTGGCACGGCACAGCCGGCCACGCAATCGCACAACGCCAAACGGATTGGCGTACGGCCTCTAAATGAGACCCCCATGTTGATATGCTGTACAGAAACAGTGGGGATATTTATTTTATAGAGAGGGGGGGCAATAGAGTAGCATAGCCGCAGAGAGATACACCAGTGTGTGGAGGGGAGTGGAGTTACAAGAGAGGGAAGAGGCAGGGGAGTGTGTGGAGGGCAGTAGAGTGATTGAGGCAGGCAGTGGCATGTCAAAGGTGGACCTGACCACGGTAAATGAAATCTTGCTGCTCAATCTAGGAGAGGATTTGGAGGAGGCAGCGGGGGAGGAGGCATGGGAGTGTTGGGGCGACGTGGACGCGGTGCACGATTGCCGATCGCGTTGATAAAGAGAAACCTCGGAGGCGGCCGGACGAGAAAGACAGGTGTGGGTGTTTGATGTTTCCTTTCGAGATAATGCCCAGAGATTCCTCATTCCTGCGCCGTTCTGTGAATGGGTAATGAGGGGCGTTGTGGTGCGGCGGTTTGAGCTCTGCTGCATACAGCTCGTTGACCACGCTTTGGTTCCCGAACTGCGCAAAACGAACGCTCATTAAAGAAATAATCGGCCAAGCATTCCAATACAGGGCCTCTTGGGAAAAAAGCCTGGTGACTCGGCGAGGCTTTTCTCGATCGGAAAATAAATAGATGTATACATATAAATAAATAATTCGCTTGAGGGTCGGTGGTCGGGACTAACGATGGAAGGCCTGCCAATGGAGGGAGCGCGACCAGGAAGACGTGCACTGTGGAGACGGAGCAGTGAAATCCGCTCGTGTGCCGGAGCCAGATGGCTAGTTACACTGGCGGAGCCACTGTGTAGCATATTATTATGTTCCAGGGACTATATCAGATGATTGGACAATAGTCTGAGTCCATAATTGCCAATAAGTAACGGCAAAGCAGTTATAAGTGACTCACAGAATTGTGCGCAGTTGCGTTTTCAGTATACGACTTCCCTGAAGGCATTCACCTTCAGCGAGCGCGATGCCGATCACACAACGCGGTTCGAATTCAACCCTCGATCGATGGCTGCGCCATCGCCGCACACGCGTCGAATAAAAAACAAGTCCTTACTAACTAACTAACCACTCCTCTATCATTTTTCATTGCTGGAGGAGTTGCCCCTCCCCGACCTGAAAATCCTGGCTCAGCCATTGGCGAGTTAAATCGCAGGACTGTGAGAGATGGTGACAATTTGGGGGAGTCTTCACCAAGCAGTGGATAGATAATGACTGACGATTACTGTTTTATTTAGTGCCAAATAATGATGGGTCAGTGGGCAGTATTTAGAATGGCGCTCTCAATCCAGTGACCTCCCTGGTTCTCACTGCGGGAATAATCACAATAACTCTATGCGCCGTCTGCTCCATGATGGACGTCAAAGATCCCCTGATGTCGTTCGCAAAAGTAGGCCATCGCACGCCGGCGTCACAGTCAAAATTTGCCAAATTTGAAAAAAATACTCTATAGTAATCTACATGGCAGTCATCGCCCCTTACTACGAAAACTTGGCAGGACCCTCTTGAAAAAAAGAGTCCTGGGACTCGGTGAGGCTATCCTGGGTAAACAAGTGTAATTAAAAAAATAGATTGGCATCTTGGCAAAAGTTTAGTTTCGTGAGATATTTGACAGACATCATTCTGATGTCTCCATGATGAACAATGCCACCGTTTGTCTTCACAATGTGTTTGAACTTTTTTCGTAAAAATTAAAGTCTGAGTCCTATAGAAATACAAACACACACACACACTTACACATGTTGAGTTGTGCATTTTTTTAATCTCTCTTCTCCCCACCCACAGGAATGTTCAGAATGTAGAAGATATTGGAGCCTGTTCCTACACCAGCCATGTCATCACCCTGGCAACCATGTGCATCCAGCAGGTAAGGGGGTGCGTGTGTGCGTGCGTACGTGTGTGCGCATGTGTTGTGTGAGGTTAGAAATGGGTTGCGGTGGTGTAGCGGTTAGCGCTCTGCGCTACGAACCCAGCCGCCCGGGTTCGATTCCTGCTCACGGTCATTATTTGAACCGGTCCTGGGCCTCCCCTAGGTCGACTCTGCCTCAAATTAATACCTGGTGCGATGTGTAAGCACCGCCATTGGGGAGAAAAAGGCGGCCGGTCGTGGTGTTGGCCACCAACCCCCTCGCGTGCCGTGCCATGCCAGGCCTTTATAGCTACTCGCTAACAGCACTTTCCCCAACAGTCTGTTAAGGCTATACGGGGGATCTTTGTCTCTGTGTGAGGTTATAAAGTAATCAGTTACCCTACGGATTATCGGATCGTGGTGAAGTATGGTCAAATTAATCCCATGATTCCCGTGGCTTGTGAAGGCCCTAATCCAGCAGTGGGCTGACTTTTAAAAAAAGTCTCTCTTTAGAGGGAGACCTGAATTTGGCCCATCTTCTCACTCTAGTGAGTAAAATCAGTACCTCTATTGGAATTACGGATAGAATCGTCGACCCCTACTGTGAACTTGGCAGGACCCCCCTGACAAAAGGCACTCGAGACTCATGGAGGCTTTGCTGAGTAAACCAAAGTAAGAACAATTATAACGATGATGATGCGGGTGATCTCTGTCTCTGTGTGTGGTCCCCCAGTCGAAGGAACAGACGAAGCAGCGGGAGGTGAGCGGGGAGCTGTCCCTCGAGACGTTTGCTCTCCACTCGCTGCACTTCTGCCAGCGCCTCTACGACCCCTACCAGAACTGGGCTCGACGCGTCGCTGGGTGAGGCCCCATCGCTCCGTGCGCCCGTCTTGTTTTGTTCGCTCGTGTCTGTGTACGTATCTGGGATTGTCACACTTGGCATACCGCACTATGCGCCCGGCGGACCGAGTTCGACTCCCGCTAACGGCCAATACTGGTGACTAATATTTGAACCGATTCTGAGCTTCTCCTAGACCTACTGAGACTTAGATGAGTACCTGGTGCTGTGAGTGAACATCACCACTGGGGAGACAAAGGCTGCCGGGGCATTGTTTTGGCTATCCACCACCTCGTGTGCCGTGTTGGACTTTGTAGGTGCTCGCTATAACAGCACTTGGCCCAACAGTCTGTTATAGGCTACACGGGGCGATCTTCTTCCTTTGTCTTGTTGTCTTTGCGCTTTCTCAGCGACGCGGTCTCCGCGATGGAGCGGAGCAGGCAGAGGTTCAAGGCGGCGCCGCTAATCAACGAGTTCGTGCCATTCTTCTACCGTGAGTCAGCGCACGCGCGAGCTCGAGGGGCACGTGCAGATGACTCGGCCTCTGGCTACAATCAGATGATATTGCGGGACATGATTGGCATTGCTCGGTCGTAGTGAGAGTCAATTGTATAGCTACGTGACTTTACCGAAAGAACCAAAGAGTATACTTTCTTTCCATTGTGCTATTACATGAGCACGTAATTTTCTGATTTTGTAAGTTATCAATTCTTCCCCCATTATTATAATAATATTATTATCAATTCTTGCCATCATCTTCATCATCATCGCTTTATTTGTACAAAAAGCAAGCTTTTCATTCTGGAAATTACCAACACTTCCTGAAGCTACTGAATAAGATTCAGGAGACTCAATGTTGCTTTTCTGGATACACAAATGACAAGATTGAATAAGCAGCCTTCCGTGTGAAAATCAACCTCGTGTCGCATTCATGAGTGACTCGGATTCAGGGAGAGGCTTGGCACAGTTGCTGCCCTGGTCCGTCCTGCGCAATTAGGGGTTACGCGAAATGACGGAAGGTTATTGGTAAATGTCGCAACATGCAAATGTGTCGTGTTGCAAAGGATTGCAAATAGCCGTTGCGGTGCCGGAGACAAGAGCGGTATCGCCCCCCCGCCACCCGTCCCTGTGACTTGCAGCTCTGAGTGGATTCTAATTTAAACAAACGTGTTAAAATAATGCTAAATATATGCTTGTTTAAAAGGGCATAAATGCCAGGAATGATCTTAGTGGTGCTTGCCTTTCCTCCGCTTGTCCTCTGTGTCATGCCTCAGAGCAGCAAAGCCACCCAACACGTGCGATGATCCAACGCTGCCTCTTTAAATCCTCGACACGTTCACGTGTTCGTATGTGCTGCGTTTCAGCCCTGTTGTGAACAATTACATAGGCATCCACGAGTTCACTCCACACCAGCGATGAACTGACAAGTGTTTCTCACCGAAATAGAACCGTGCGTGGCTTTAGTGTCGCGTCGTGCCCACGCGTGTGAGTCGCCCATCTCTCGTGTGCGTGCGTGCGTCAGCGCATGCCAACCCAAGCGCGGTATGGCCACAACCGACGAAACCACTGATGTGCCCAGGGGGAACTCTTCTGAGAGAACAGCCGGATCGCTCCAGCGGGAGACTCAAAGCTCTGTGCTGGGAGCTTCTTGGGCAACTGAACTTAATTCTGCAGGAGCTGCCAGCTGTTTAGTTAGAGGGCTCGGCTGACGAGATGTTACAACGCCCCTAAGCCGAGCCTGTAAACAAGCAAAATGCACAATTCCCCCAGGGCCCATGGGCACAGGCGGAGGGTCTGCCCCACATTGTTTCTGTAGCTGGGATCGGTTTTAAGAGCTCGTTGACGCAGACGGCGCCTATTTAGGTCGATGCCTCCGCCGCAGACGAGTCGTCGTTACAGCCTCCCCTGTGCCGAGCTTGTAAACAAGCAGGGCGCAGGTCTCCCACGGCCGGCGCTGTCCAGGAGGGGTGAGTTCGCCCCGCGTTCATCCGCGTTGTTTCTGCGGCGGGCGGTTTACGAGCTCGGCCGCACAGACAGGGGCGGCGTGGGAGGGTGTGGGGGGCGGCGGTCTGTGGTCTGCAGGCCCCCAGCACCGTGACGCAGCATTGCGGTGTTGAGGTCGCGCTGTGAGCCGGGGAGCCGGAAGGGATGAGAACCCTTCCTCTCTGTTCCTCGCAGGCTGAAGCAGAAATGCGTGCACTCGCTCCTGTTTACAGAAAGCAAAATCCACTGAATGTTTGTAAGGAATTGTGGTGCGATAGGGTTTTAGAGTGGTCGTGTTTGGTGCGCAAGGCACGTTTGTAGATGCATCGCGACCGCTGCTGACGCTGTTGTTCCAGCACTCGGACTCCACAGGAAGTGGTTTTTGAGGTGGTCTGCAACGCAATCTTTTCCCGGCACTGTAGCCCAGCCAAGAGCAGACGTTTCCTCTTCAGTGTTTATTTCTCAGTGAAATTATCACATTAACCGAGACATTGACTTTCACGGTTTTGAGCAGAATGAATGGAGGGCATTGTGCCTGCATTGCTGTATCCACTCTGTCAGGTTCAGAGGGAGGAAAATGAGCCAGATGTAAGGTGCCTTCTCCTAATGCCACACCACAGGGCTAGTTTTTGTGTTTTACCGAACATTAATCATCATCATAGGCCATGACCTGTCCACTGTTGGATGAAGGGGCCTCCAAGCCGTCACAATCTCTCATGGTCCGGTAACGTTATGATCCGTCTAGCAGCTCCACACAAGCTCATTTCATCGCTTCATTGCTGCAGTAGATGTCTTCTCAAGCGTGTTCCCTCCTTGGGATGCCACTGCTATGTTAGTCTCGACCACCAGCCATCATCTCCCCTTGCGACGTGTCCTGCCCATGCCCGATCACTTATTTCAGGCAATGTAATGTCTCTAACTTGGACATGTTCCTTAAGCCATGTTCTCCCCTGTCTCTGAGTATAATTCCAAGCGTGCGCCTTTCCATGCTTCCATTGTTTTTGTCAGCATGCATGTGCCTTTGGGAAAAGAACGCGCAAAGGATTCCATAAAAACAACGCGTGATTGCTTTGTACCAAACGTGCCAGTTGAATAGAAGGTTGGGGTTGTGAGAACGAGACTCGCAGAAGCCCTCAGTCAAATAATTAATCGATTTGAAAGTCCTTACTCACACAATACATGCATCGAATGATACAAATAAATTCAACTTATAACCGGCACAATATCTCACTCCCGCAGAGAGCACCATTGGCCAAAGCCGATCGTGCCACCACACTTCACCAATACTCTCTACCCTCCCATCAGATCCAACAGCAGCAAGCGCTGCTGCTGCTGCTGCTGCCGCCACTTCATGTACACTGTCGTGCATTGCTTCACGCACTCGTTGCATGCCCAGCTGAGACGAGAGTCCCACCGTGCTTGGCGGGGTTGTGCCGCTTTGGCCCCCACGAGCGCCGCGTGCGTCACCGTGCGTCGTCTGCGGGTGTCAGAATGTTTCCAGGAGTACACGCACCTGCCTGGCAAGCTGACGGACCAACTGCTGCACCTCTTCGGGGCCGTCATCGCGGGCAACCAGGTGAGATTCCCACCGTCGCCGCCCTCGAGATTACTCCGCCTGACTGCACTGAGATTTGCGATCATCTTTGTCAACACTTTCAAACCACCCGCGCGTGTGACATCGTCTCGCTTGCGTGGCTTGGAAGTCAATGTGATTATTGCTGGTTAGATATTCTGCAGACAAACGCGTGTTGGAGAGCGTTACAAAATCCATGCGTGTTCACTATTTTTCTTCCTTGTAACGACCACCGACGCGATCGATTGTTCTCTCAGCGCAACGCACTGCAGGCGATCTCCCCGGCCACCCTGGAGGTCCTCATGCGGCTCCTGGTTGATCCAGCCATGGCGGGATCCTCGGGGTCCGTGGCCCGAGGGCGTCTCGGCCTCACCCTCAAGTGCCTGACGGAAATGGTGCAGGCGCTGCACACGGGCAGCCCGGACCAGCGGCAGGTGGAGGTGGCCTCCGTGCTGGATGGGTACTTCAAGGTGCTGAACGCCGAGGGTGTCGCGACGCCCGGGTCCCTCGCGTGGAACGATGGGCTGGTGGAGCTGCAGATGCACATGCTGAGTGAGTGCCGTGCTCCGTGACGGGTCTTGACTGCCTGCGTCGTCTGCGGTTATCCCGGCCGGGTGGCTGAGCGGGAGAGTGGGGGGTAGGGGCTTGACTCAGCCCATTGTCCCTTCAAATAAACAATATTCTGTGAAGAGGTAACCAGTGGTTATCCTATAGCGAGACTCGCCGCCACCATATAAATGTGGAATTTGTACCACTAGCTCAGGGCTGTAAACAGGTCATGAGCAACCAATGCCTCGGTGCTTATACGAGCACCCCCCATCATGACCCAACTCTCAACTTTAAAATGTTCAACTCGGCGATTTAAATCGTCTCTTGAGGTGGTCATGTTGCACAGAGGAGACGGAGCGATGAGATCGGTGCATGTGCAGGAGCCGGGTGGATCATTGCATCGCAGGACGATGAAGGATGGTGGTGACTTGGAGAGGCTTTCATCCAGCAGTGGATTGGCCATGGCTGATGATGACGATGACAATAATATTGTCGACGACAATGGCTCTTGACATTGTGTTATTGCGCAGGATCCATCCCGGAAATGTTAGCCTGCTCGGACCGGCCTGTGCTGCAGGCCAGCTTCCTCAACAGCAACTGCTTCGAGCACCTCACACGGCTACTCCACAACAGCAAGGTGTGCGGCACGTAGCGGCGCGTGACGCGGCGCGCCACGGCAAGGCCCGGCACGGGGCACGCGGCCAGGCCCCGTATTGCGTGACACAGCACAACTAGGCACGGAGTGGCACGGCACAACACAGCGTGACATGGTCTAGCACGACACAGGTACGTTACAGCAGGGTTCCTCACGGCGCACACGTCTCACGTGGCGTGTGCATCGTGCGCAGCGAGGCTCCGCGCGTACTACAGCGTCATCGCACGGCGTCATCGCACGGCATCATCGCACGGCATCATCGCACGGCGTCATCGAACGGCATCATCGCACTGCATGACGCAGCATGACGCATCGTGACTCGGCAAAGCGGGACAGTGTGGTCAAGTTTGACGTGTGGGTACCGCACGGCAAGGCCACAAAAGCAGGGTGGTATCGTTTAGCTTGTGAGCTCAGCAGCGCTGGAGAGGGCCAAGGCCCGTGACCTCCATTGGCACGTGCGGATTCCACGCTCGGATATGCAGAGATCCCGGTAATAAACACCGCCGCACACTCTTCAGTGTGTAAAGACCACAGTGGAAGTGCACGCGCGTTAGATGTACGTCTCAAACGCACCCCCGTGAATCGGACTCGTGCATCGCAGACGACGGGATGTCCCCATCGCTTCCTTGGTTGCGTTTTATGCAGGGCTCGCGCCGATATTCCATCCGTCGTGGAGGATGCGACGTCGCGGGGTTTGGGCTGGCCCTGTGTCCCCCTGCGCACCCCCTGGCCCCCACACCCCCACCCCTTGCTCCCCCAACTGCCGTCTCTCTCTGTCCTCACGAGCTCACGTCCGTGTGTTGCCCCGTGTCGTCTGCCCCGACAGCTCTTGTTGAGCGCTAGAGCCAAAGCGCCAGGCAAGAGCGAGAAAGAGCTTGCCAACAGCAAATTGCAGTTGGAGCAGGTACTCGCCTCCCTGCGAGCGTCGGGGTGACCTCTGAACTCTGTCCAGAGCCTGCTGCCCCCTGTGCTTCTCTGGGTGTGCCGGTGCCTCCTCTCGCTTGATCACGCTTCGCCCCCCCCCTACCCTGGGAAACCCCCCCCCCCTCCTTTCCCAAAAGCCTCCCCCCCTTCTCCCCCCTCCATCGCGACTCATCCTGGTGGAAGGGCCCTTTTTGTCCGTCTCTCTAGCGGTAGCGTTTGTATTTTTGTTTTTTGCATGCGTTTTTGTGTTGTCGACATGGCCGATTTGAATAAATCTTGACGTGTGTAAATCGATGCACGCAAATCTGATATGCTCTGGAAATTCTGCGTGGGCTAGAGCTGTGAATCAGGTGAAGGGGGAAATGGTTGTAATCGAGTCTCCATGACACCAACTGGAACCATGAAACTCACTGAGAAAGTCTGTGGGTCAGCCCACTGTCCCGGGTCAAGAGGTCAGACGTAGCCTAACCCTCGACCCCATACGGTTACGTTCTTCCTGCACGTGACGTGTTATACAACTGGTTGTTACGATCACCACAAATATTAACAGACTTTTAAACATGTTACGTGAAATTCTTACTCCTTTGGCTTTGTTTTTCTTGGTTTCAGCCACAGTGGCCATTAGAATCTGGTGGCTGGTCACGAAGATTAAACCACCGCCAGTCTTTGGCTGAAATCATGCAGACTGGCCGGTATTTGTATCAGATTCAGTTTGATTTGCATGAGGCTGTACGTTTAACAACGGTGTTGCGGGGTTAGTTTCTTTTGCAGTCAACAAACATTTTCAGAAACCACGCGCCGGTCTGTTAATCTCAGTTCCGTTGGTTACTGAACAAATTTCCCAGCTGCGAGTTTTGCGATGCATCGAGTCTGCTCTGTGTGGTTTTCTCATCCAATCGATTGAAATTGAACGCGTGCGGAGGAGGCGACGCCGAGGGCTCGTACACACCACGGCCGGCGTCTCTGGCCATCGGGCCCCAAAGGCACGCTTGGGTGGACCCGTGACGATTTAACATTTTTGAGCCTCTACCAACCAAACCTCGTCCACGCCTCTTTGTAAGCGTTCATTGCCAAGCGATGCCGCGATGTCGCCCGGCGAGCGACGGGTTTTCAGCTACGCTCAAACACCGCAGCACGTTTAGTGCACGATTGTCAGAAAGTACAAGAACTATTTAGAGCCACTAACACAGTGACAATTGTTACCACTTGTGCCATAGTTTAATGGTGAATTCCTGAGCTGCCGTGTTAATCCGTGGTGTGTACAGAACCTCAGCCTGGGTGGTCTAATCTCTCTTTTCAAACAAATTAGATGCAGCTTGTTGACATCGTTGTTCTGCGCATGACACGTTTCTGATTGTAGTGTACGCTGCTGCACGTGTGTGTGTGTGTGCATGTGTGTGTCTGTTAAGCGCGCGTGTGTGTGCGTGCATGTCTGCGTGCGTGTGTTGCATGTGTTCCCGTGTGTGTGCGTGTATTTGTGTGCCTTCGTGCGCCACCTGCTGATGCCTGCGCAGGGCCCAGGCAAGCGTACGGACGCCCTGACGGTGCTCACCATCCGCGTGCTGACGTGCGTGATGCACACCTCGCCCGCTGCCAAGGTGAGCCACCCACACGGGGCGGGAAACACACACGGTGGGGCGGGGGGGCGGGCACACGCAGCATCGATAGCTGCTGTGAACTTCACTCAGAAGTGCGAACGTGCTAGACTAGCTGTACAATGAGAGACACACCCATGGACTCTCTCGTACGACAACCACAACAACTGCCACTTCTTGGCGGCGGTGCCGTCGTGCCGTTTGTGCCAGGCTTCATGTACTTTGAGACTGTTGTGCGATGTGTCGAAGGATCACGAGCAAGAGTTTACAGGTTAGGCCCCCAGGTGTTATAGTTTAACTCGCTTAGATGACGTGAACATCGCTTTTCCACCCTCTTTCGTTGCTGGAGCACGACTGCCCCTAACTGCCCAGGAGCGTCCTTCATGAGCCTCCCCAGAGGGCGATCTTGACACCACTTTTTGTGGAAAGTGCCGTGAGCAAGCACCACAAAGAGGAGCGTAGTCGCAGCAGTGTAGGAGGACACGACAGCAATTATTGCTGCTGCGTTCCCAAACCTGTGTGAGATCGCCCATTGCAGAGTTGTGTCTTGGTGGGTGTGTGGAATGTGTGGCCGAGCCTGCTTCCGTTAGCATCGATGGCGTCTTATGAGACTGTTTGCTCAGTATCTCCGTTACCATTTTTTTCTCGTGTAAATGTAATGCGATACTGTTCAGCTGTCTCGCAAACGATTATCGGTTGGGCTGCCCGCCCGCTGCCGCGTGGCTGGGGGAACTTTCTGTGAAACTCTACGTTCTGTTGCTTCCATCGCACTGCTGGCATGACAGTCGGTTGTTATTGTTGATGCTTGTAGAACGATGTTGTCGTTTTGTCATGACTACACTGTCGGTGTTGTGTCAAAATATTATTCGTAATTCTCGCAGAGCGGCGCGACCCTTCTTGTTAGTGAACAGGTCAGCCGAAGCGGATCTCGCGGAGTTACCTCTCGGAACCATTAAAGTGACCTCTGGTCCATAAGTAGTGGGTAGCACTTTCCGGCACGCCCTGCCACCATGGGTAACAGTCACCATGGGAGGGCTCGGGGTTCGATTGTGAGTTTGCGTTTTTGTATTTCCAATACGTGCATTAATCGTTTTGAGGCTGGCTGTGGCATTCCAGCGAATAATAAATGAAAATTCCTCAACCTTATATCGACTGGGTTTTGGGACACTTTTCAAAACCCCGTGGCATCATCGTTGTTGCCGCTGCCTCCACAGGAGGTGTTCAAGGAGCGGATCGGCTACAACCACCTGTTCGACCTGCTGCAGTCCCTGGGACAGCCGTCGCTTGCGTTGCTGTACGAGCTGCTGGACATGGTGAGGGGTCACCTCCTGCGCCATTCCTTTTTGGGAATCTGACGTGACTCTCGTGATGGCGACGAGATATATTTCTCATCCGGCGGACGGATGACCTGACGCAGACGTGCCTGGTCCCCTCGGCTCGCCGTTCGGAGGAACCGTGGAGCGAGTCCGGAACAATCCTGGAAGAGGACCCCTGTCTTTGCCCGAGGGACCAGCAGACTGCAGCGATTCAGAACTGACTCGGTGGTGAAGTGGTTAGCGCACCGCCCTGTGAACATGGCCACCTGGGTTCAATTCCCGGCCACGGGTAAAATCGATGACGAATATCTGAACTGGTGCAATGCCCTCCCTTGGGTCGACTCGGCCTTATATGTAACTTGCTGACCCACCCCTACTGTGAAAAGACTCACCCCTACTGTGAAAAGAGCTTCACAGCTCATTGGATTCTTCCAGTTTAAATAAGGATGCTGATTCTGATAAGAGTACCTGGTGTGGTGTGTAAACATCAGCACTTGGGAAACAAACGCGGCCGGGCGTGGCGCTGGCCACACCCACCCCCTCGTGAGCCGTGCCGGCCTTCTTCGGCACTCTCTGAAGGCACTTTTCCCCAAACAGTCTGCTAAAGGCGACACGAGGGATCTCTGCCTCTGTGCGTGCGTATTCGGTCGCAGGCGGTGGAGGGAGACCACAGGCAGGCGCTGAGCGGCGCCTCTCGCATGTACGGGGGCGGCGGCGGCGGCGGCGGCGTGGCCAACGTGCAGGCGCTGCTGATGCTGGTGCGCTGGCTGCCCACGCTGGAGTCGCTGTCTGCCCGCTCCTACTTGGCCGCCGCGCTGCACCAGCTGTGCTGCGCCGACCGTCCCAGCCGCACCGTCTGCGTCAACGCCGGCATGATGTCCTGCATCCTGGACTCCCTGCAGGTGACGCTGCTGCCTCCCTCCCACGCCTGCGTGCGTGCCGCCGCTGCGCACCCCTACACGCATTCAGTTCCCTGCGTCGGTTCTGTATCGCGCACACACTGGAGGTGCTCGTGGGATGGCGGGGTGGCGGCGCAGTGGTGGCAATTTTGCCCCGCAGCAAAAAACCCTGGGTTCGATTCCCGACTCGGGTGCCTTTCTGCGTGGAGTTTGTATGTTCTCTCTCCCCCTGTTCTGCGTGGGTTTCCTCCGGGTTCTCCAAATTACTCTCATCTCTTTGCAGCTGGTATTGGCCTCGTAGCGCAATGCGAACAAATTAGTTGCAAAATCACTCGATCGGGAACACACACACACAGCAACAACATCGCCCCCTGCTAGGACAACTTGGCAGGACCCTCCTGGAAAAAGATCCTTGCTGGGTAAGCGAGCGCGAATAAAGATTGCGAGCAAGAGGCCCTGCCATTGGGCAGGGGACCTCATCAACGGGGTCAGAGACCTTGACGCCTGTTCCCGCGCTGGGCATGCGGCGCGTGAACTCCGCGGTGCCACCCTGCAGATGGTGGACCCCGTTCGGCACATGGACTGCGCCGTGAGCCTCGTCGGACTCCTCGAGGCGCTGGGCTCCCAGTCCATCCGAGCCAAGGAGCTCTTCTGCCTCTTCAGGCTCCTCCGCGTCCACGCCTCCTCCCCCACGGAGTCCGCCTTCTCGTCGGACGTCCCCACCCCCGACGCCGCCACCTCCTCCTCGGCGGCGTCCAGCGACGCTCCACCGGCGCCGGCTCTGGTGCCGGTCGGCGTGAGCACGAGGCTGCACGTCGGCACCGCCACCGCCCTGGGCACCGTGCTCACGGTCGGCGGCGGCGATTACCTCGACAACGACGGCGGCCGAGCGGACGACGGGAGCGCGAAAAGGAGGTGGAGTTCCACGGACGGTTTCAACGCGGAAGCGGCGGCGGTGCACCCGCTCACCGGGACGGTGACGCGTGCGCTGTCGGCCATGGCGCGGCGCGACGGCGTGGAGCGCGCCATGCACTACTTCGACCTGACGCACGCCATGGCCGGCATCACCGTGCCCGCCGTGCAGCGCTGGCCCGGCAGCGGGTTCAGCTTCCACGCCTGGTTCTGCCTCGACGCCACCGAGCAGAGGCTGGCGCACCTCGCTGGCGGCAAGCGGAAGCAGTTGTACAGGTAGGACGGTGCGTCATCCGTCGGTCGCTACGGCGCGGACACGCGGACACAGCGTGGTCGTGCGTGGTCGTGCGTGGTCGTGCGTGGTCGTGCGTGGTCCTGCGTGTGTGCGGCCCTGGGATCGCTTACTCACGCCAATCCTGGTGGCAGAGAGGCCAAATATCCTCTCCACGTCTTCCCCGGTGTCCCCCCCAACCCCCCCACGTCTCTCACCCCATGGCAGCTTCTTCACGTCGAGCGGCACGGGCTTCGAGGCATTCGTGACTGGCGCCGGCGTGCTGGTGGTGGCCGTGTGCACCAAGAAGGAGTACGTCACCGTCAGCCTGCCCGACACCTGCTTCCACGACTCGGCCTGGGTGCGCCTCCCTCCCTCCCTGCCTTCATGCCTCCACTCCACCACATATGTGTGCGATGTATCACAGGTGCTCGCTAACAGCACTTTCCCCAGCAGTCTGTCAAGGCTGTACGGGGGGTCTTTGTGTTTGTGCCGTGAGTGACCGTGCGCTGTGCGTCCCTCTCCGCCCGCTGCGCCGGCAGCACTGCGTGGCCGTGGTGCACACCACCGCCCGGCGCGCCCTCTTCTCCCAGTGCATCGTCAACATCTACGTGAATGGGCAGCTGCGTGATACGGCGCCTCTCAAGTTCCCCCCAATGGGCGAGGTGAGACGGGAGCGATGGCGGGAGGCGGGAGCGAGAGACGCGGCTGTTCTCCTTTCTGTGTGAGTTTTCTCTTTCCTTCAGTGCCTGTGTGAAGGCCATGAGTGTTTGGGTTTTCCCGTCCGCTTGCCGGTTGACATTGGTAACAGGGTGCTTCGTTGCGCAAGGACTCGGGCTGTGCCGGTGACTCCGCACCCGGGCCTCGCTCCAAAACACCTGGAGAACAACGCAGCCTCATCTAGCCCAGATCTCACTGCTCTCAAGTTGAATGCCGCACTTCTCTACACCAGCGTTAGCTGGACGGGGCAGGGAAAGCAGTGGCGCTCGAACGCACACCGCGACCGCAAGCGTAGGCCATTGTGTGCCAGAATCAGGGTCGATGTTTGTGAAATTTGTAATCTACCCACCCCGCCAGGTTTCATCCAGCAGTGAATTTGGCAATGCCCGACGACGATGATGATGACGCTGTCATCGTTGTTTTTCCAGGCGTTCACGTCGTGCTGCATCGGCTCGGCGGGCAACCGCACGATCACGCCCACGCCGTCTCAGATCCCCGAGCCCACGTCCTTCTTCCCGGGCTCGCCGCCTCACTCCACTTCCTCCACCTCCTCCTTCCCGACCTCCCCATCATCGCACGGCGTGACGGCCATCCCGTCGCCCATCTCCGCGTCCAGCTCCTCGGTGCTGGACGGCAGCCCCACCCGGCCCTCGGCCTTCCCGGGAGCCGGCCTGCCGCGCCTGTCCTCGTCGTCCGGCGTGCCCAGGCTGACGCCCGGCGCGGCGCCGTGCCTGCGCACCATCCCGGCCGGCACGCAGGACAGCGAGTGGGGCTCGCCCACATCGCTGCGGGGCCAGCTGGGCTCCGTGAGCGTCTTCCACGACGCCCTGCAGCCGCCGCAGGTCAAGGCGCTGCACCAGGCCGGTGGGTTTTGCCGAGTTTGCAGTGAATTTAGTGATTGCAGCGATTGCAGTGTTTGCAGCGATTGCAGTGTTTGCAACGTTGCAGAGTTTGCAATGATTGCCATTTTTGTGGGTGTTGCAGTTATTACAGATGTGGATCGGTAGACATGGTTGATACTGCTGCAAGCCTTATAGGTGCCTACTCACTAACAGCACTTGTCCCAGCAGCCTGTGAAGATTATACGGGGATCTCTGTCCTTGTTGTGTTTCTGTGTGCTTGTGTGTGCGTGTGTACACTTACCCCTCCAGTCTGGTCAGCTATATGGGGGATTCTTTTGTTTGTGTGTTTGTAGGCCCAAACAACCTGTTCCCATTCAAGCCTCCGGAGTGTGCCCCCGAGCTGACCGACCTCCCAGCCAAAATGTTGCTCTACTACACCCCCAAGGTGCGTGTGTGATTGTGTGTGTGATTGTGTGTGTGATTGTGTGTGTTGTGTGTGTGATTGTGTGTGTGGGGAGCGATGTTGTAGCAGTTAGCGCGCTTTGCCATGAACCCAGCGACCCGAGTTCGATTGCCGCTCACGGCCAACACCAGTGACGATTATTTGAACCGGTCCTGGGCCTCCCCTAGGTCGACTCAGTCTCCAATGAGTACACTGGGGAGACAAAGGCGGCTAGGCATGGGGCTGCTCACACCATCTACTCGTACGCTACGCCATCCTTAATAGGGGCTCACTAACGGGACTTGCACCAACGGTGTTATAGGCTATACCGGGAATGTTTAACCGTGTGTGTGTGTGCGCTCGTGCGTCTAGGCGTGTCAAAAGCTGCTGTGCCTGGACCTCGCCCCCAGCCACCTGTTTGACGGACGACTCACCGGGCAGACGGTCGTCAACTGGGACATCAAGGTAACGGACGACTTGTTCGTTACCCGCCCATTAGTCGCCCTTCGCTCGCCAGAGCTCCCGGAGAAGTGCCCGATCGCCGCCGTCACTCGGGAACCCTCGTCAAAGCGCACACGGAGAGCGTCGGACGTCTGTGCGTTTTGGTTTTGCGCAGGACGTGATCCACTGCATGGGCGGCATGGCCGTGCTCGTGCCCCTGCTGGAGCAGCTCGTGTCCACCGAGTGTCCCGCGGCGCAGCAGGACGACGGCGGCGCCTTCTCGTCTCCCGCGCGCACCTCCGGTCAGCCCGCGACGACCACAGAAACTCGTTAGTTTTGGTACTGGCAGCGTTGACGTTGGCAGCAGAGCTTGGCCTGGCAGTCCTGTGGCGGCGCAGTCGGCCCCCCGGTGGTAAAGTCGCGGCGAGAAGATTATCTTCTCTTTCGAGTCCTGAGCCATTTGTGAGCACGTTGCATTTCTACGCTGCTCTTATGAAAGTTACTGTCACGTTTGCATTATTGCCTCATAACAATTGTAATGTCTTGAAGTAAAATTTCAGCCGGGGGTTGACACAACCCATAATGATCCCCGGGAAGAAGAACACATGGATTAGAGACATTAAGCAAGTTAGTGACATCACTTTAAATGTTGGGAAAAGTTAAGTGGGCTTGGGCAGGGCACGTTGCTCGGACAGGTGATGGCTGGTGGCCAAGACTGATGATGCGGTGGCAGCCAAAGTCGGGAACATGCCCGAGAGACCATCCCCCGATTAGATGGAGCAGTTAAATCCGCTCGTGTCGAGTAAGTAGATGGATCGCTTGCATTGTGAGACTGTGAGAGAGCTAGTGATTGTTTGGGGAGGCCTTCATCCAGCTGTTGATAGATCATGGCTGATAATGACGAGGGTAAAGATAATGAGCACCTCGTCGTTTGAAGTCAGTCGTGATTGTTTCTTGGGAAATGCTGGCCTCCACCATAGGAACGTGTAATTGCCATAACAGGCTCAGGACCGCTAAGATGTCAGTATGAGGGTCAACCACGACGCTGGTGGTGTACAACTCCCGAAGACAGAGCACGGCCTGGTGGAGCATCACAGGGCTGTGAGCGGTCAACGCGGCTCCACTCCACGCAGGAGCTCAGCGTCTCGCGTCGTCGCTCGCACGCTAACCGCCGCGTCGCTGACGCTAACCGCCGCGTCGCTCGCTCGCAGAGGCGCGACTGGAGGGAAGCCACGTGGCCTGCTTCCTGCTGCTGCTGCGCAACTTCGTGCGGAACCACCCAGCCAATCAGGAGTCGCTGGCGCAGAGCCAGGGCATGGCCACGGTCGGCGCTCTCATCTTGCAGGTACTGAGGGCACGCGCGTCGTGGCGCAAGCCGCCTCAGCCGTAGGGAGGGGAGCTCCGCTGGGCGTGGTTTGAAGGCGCCTGCAATTAAACCCCGATTCCTCCCGCGCCCCCGTTCCCTCTTTCCCCCCCACTTCCCCGCTCCCCCGCAGAGCGGGAAGCGTCACATGGACGCGAGCGTGCTGACCGCGTGCCAGCTGCTGGTGGAGGCGGTCATCGATACCAACGCGCTGCTGCTGCACCAGGTGTACCAAGCGCTGCTCTTCGACTTCCGCTTGTGGAGCCAGGCCGACTTCCCCGTGCGCATAGGTGAGCGCGTCGCTCACCGACCGCCACACGCCACTTCCACCGTGGAAGACTTTGACCCCATACAATTTGAACCCAGGGGTCAGAAGCAAGGTGAAGTTGTCATCATGGCCAAGGTGTTGATGCCAACATCACCCAAACTGTCCGTCGGGTTAAGCCACCACTGTTGGGGGATTGGGGTTCCAGCTACATACGCTATTTTATCGTGGTCAAAATACCATCTCGCATCGGCCTTTACGGGTGGGTTGGTCAACGTCGGCACCGCCGGGGAGAGAGACAAAGGCAGCCACACCGCTGTCCACCACCACCACCTGGCGCACCGAGCAGCCGTGCTTATTTGGCGCTCGCTGAGTGGGACGCCTCTGTGTGTGTGTGTGCCCCGTGTGTGCAGGACACATCCAGTACCTGTCGACAATCATCAAGGACAACCACAAACAGTTCCGACGGCGCTACGGCGTGCAGTTCCTGCTGGACGTTGTGCGCACGTACTACGGGTGAGAGCGTGCCTGGTGCTACCATGATGGCAGGATGTTAACTACCTTGCCTGATATACAGAAGGTTGTGGGTTCAATCCTGACCCTGGCGCCTGTATATGTGGAGTTTGCGTGTCTCTCTCCCCGTGGTCGCGTGGACTTTTCTCCGGATCCTCCGGTTTTTTCCTCCACATTTAGAATCACCGTCACGCGTTTAGAGTATTTGGTTGCGGCTATACAGTTCCACGTGATAAGCCACTTTTTTGGGCTATAATCTGGCCAGGTTGCTTCTGAAAAGGAGCTACATAGTTCAGTGGGCTTTAGCTGGTAAAATAAAAATAGTTTAGTTTAAATCAATAGTTTACCGCCTCGCTCAGTCGAGCTGCGGTTCTCAACCCCGGGCAGCCTGCGGCGTGGATCCCAGGAGGAATGTTGATTGCGCGTGGGGAGCATTGGCGCCTCGTCCGCGACGAGATAACGCACAAAAACACAACACGGAGCGCATCGCTCGCCAACACCGCGTTGACGAGAGGCGTGGACAGGCAATCTCTCTGAGTATTGTGACCGTAACAACCTGGGGGATGGGGGGCCCAGGAGCTGGGGTTTGGAGGCGGGGGGCACGGGGGCGAATTGCCGTGGGGGCCGCCATTCCGTTTGAGGGCCGCCGTAGCAAATAGGTTGAAAACGATTGGGTTAAAGGTTCGAGGTTGCTGGCCGTAGTTGAGCACGTGGAGTGGATTCTGACCCCCCGCCCCCCCTTTCCCCAGGAGCCGCTCGTCGGAGCTGTGTGCTGAAGACCTCAGGGTGATCCGAGCCGCCATCTTCGGCCTCATCAAGTACTACATCACCAAGGAGGTGTCGAGCGACGAGGTGCAGAGCATCATCAACTTCGTGGCCTCTGTTGGCGAAGAGGAGCAGGTGGGTCGGGTGGCAGCGGCAACTCTCATCCTCTATCAGTGCAGCTGTGGCGTCGCTATTTTATCGTTTGTTTCCTTGTTGACACTCTCACTCGGGGATAAATACGACGGCTTCTAATCTCTATGTATGTAAGTGGTAAAGGCGCAGCCCTGCAATATCCTGCTCAGCCAATGCTGGCACAGGGGTCTTCACTCCAGGGAGCTCGGGAAAGTCCCTCTCGAGGTTACGTGGCCTAGTTTTCCACGCTGGCGAAGACGTCTTAAAATAAGTTAGAATACCCCCACTTGACCCCACCTCGTGCGACCTGCTGATCGACCAGCATTTAGACTGCTGGGTGGACACAGGCGGTGTGGGATCTAATAAAGTGTCCCCAATGTTCTATCGATTGAACCGGAGTCCTCTGCATTGCCAGTCCAGGGTGCTAGCCATTAGAGCACCGTCAGGGGCTCCCCTAGGCTGCGCAATATGCTGCGCTCTGAGATGTTTGTTACGCGATGTACATAAAATAAACGGCAGTTGTTTTTGTTGTATTATACAGACACACAAACACACGAATCATCGGCCGCTTGACTTAGCAGTAAAGTGAGTGGCGCACAATAAGTTGCGAGGTTACGTCCTGGTTGGGGGCTCTCTCACTCCATCATCCCTCCAGGATCCATGAAGTGAGCACCACTTTGTGTGGAAGCACAGCAGTGGTTGTCCTATGGATAGATTCGCCCACGCCATAGGAATGAGGAATTTCCACCCCTCGCACAGGGCTTTGAATCGGAGATGAGCACCGCCTCGATGCTTAGTTGAGCAGGAGGTCACTCTAACTTTTGACTCGTAGACCTAACACCTGGTGCATCCTGTACACTGCCAGCCCAGTGAACCCCGGTGATGTTCACTTGCGCGCCGCCGCAGATCAACGCGTGCCTGGACATGCTGTTGGCGCTGCTGCGCTCCAAGGGCCCGTCGCCCAGCTACGAGCAGCTGGTGCTGCTGCTCACGGAGGCCGGGCAGTGTGAGGGCCTCTACTCGCTGCTGCTACTGCAGCGCAAGCACTCGGACGTGCTGCGCGAGAAGCTCTTCCGCGTGAGTCTGCGCCACGCCACGCCTCGCCGTCTTCCCACCAGCCCCTCTCTCTTGTTGTTGTTGGATTGTCTCCCCAGTTTTGTCTCGATTGCACAATCGGCACCACGTCACGAGACGAAGCGTCCGTCCGAATCTCTCGTGGATATCGCAGAGCTACATCTGAGTGCCCTTCAAGTGACCGCTGGTGCCAAACAGCGGAGAATAACACTTTACCACCTGCTCTGCAGGTGGTAAATTTAGCAAAAATTACTTGCAAAACCAAATTTAAAATGATGGTGACCGGGCTGAGACCATCACCTCCCCACACCAGGGAAACACGATCCAGGGTTTGTTTGCTTAAACAAATGCTGTTTTATTCGAATTTTTCCAGAAAGCCGATAGGCCGGTGTATTTGTGTGTGTGGGGGCACAGAATGGAGTTCTGCTTCTGAAGCTCGCGACCACTAACGAGCGAGTGGTACCCTTGTTTCTGCAGCTGTTCCTGCGCCTGCTGCGCAGCGAGCGCATCGGGGAGAAGAGCAAGCAGCGGTTGCGTCTGCGGGACGGGCTGTTCGCGGGGCTGGTGGCACTGCAGGCCGATGTGCCCGTCACGCTCACCGTCGTGCGAGGGATGCTGCTCATCATCGTCACCGCCGGTGAGTCTGCGTGCGTGTGTACGTGTGTGAGCGTACGTGCATACGTGTGTGCGTGTGTGCGTGTGTGCGTGCGAGCGTGAGCATGCGAGCCTTCTCATTGCCGATTCACGATAAAATACGCGCCATCCGCTTAGCATTGGACGTTGTTTGAAATGAGCTGGCCATTGTGTTCCGGCTTCAAGGTCTGAATTTTGCCAAATTTTTAAAATTATCTGCAAATTACTGGGACTACACACACCAAGCAATAATCACCCCCTTCTGACCGACTAATGCCATTCGCAGGACAGCTGCAACTAGGGGTGCCCGTTCAAAGGTTTTAGATGTAAAGTAAGTCACTTATCACATGGAAATGGTTCTGAGTGTAAAGGGCCTCGATCAAAACAGATCATTATCATTCATAATAATAGTTGATTTATTCACAGAAGCCTCAGTCTCAAAACACGTGTGTTGGGATGTTTATCGCATTGCCGAATGTCGGTGTGTCTCCCGTCTCCAGCGGGCATGTGGCAACGCTCTTCTCGGGTGAACGTTGAGACTCACATCAACCCCTTACACGCAGTTTGCCCTTGAGAAATCACATGGCGTGCGTCCGATCTCATCAGAGTAGTTGAATTATTCAGAAGCGAAGTAGAGCTTGGGTAGTGCTCAGACGGGATTATCACCACGCACAGCAGGCTGCTTTAGGCTGAGCTTTGAGGATCGACATCGAGTGGCGAATGACATCGATGCGTCGTTTAGAGCCCCGTGTGTCCGCTGAGTTTTTGCCCGACGAGGAGTGACGTGCTTTCTTGTACCCCAGACACGTCGCCCAACTACCAGGACATCATGGCCGTGGTTCACTTCTCCCGCAAGGCCGACCTGTCTGTCAGGCATGCCGTGTGCAAGAAGGTGAGTCGGCGCTGGGCTTGGCAAGGGGTCTGGTGACCGGAGAGCCAAGGTTTTGCTCCGATTCTCGATCCACGGCTCGCACCAAACGCCTGCTGCTTGCCGTGTGACCCACTCTGTGTGTGCCCATGTAATAAGCAGAGCAGTCGTGCTCAAAAACTCTCGGGGTTTTAGTTAATTTATTGTTATTTTAACAACTATTTATCACGATTGCGCAATTGGCATCATGGTGCACAAATTATCAGAGCTGGAATTTTCGCCAAGAGAAGTTCAGGACCAATTGTAATGTGATATTTTGTGCCACCATTGGTGGCCCGGCTGAGATCATTAACTCACCACACCTGAGAACCCGTTTGAATCGCACGCGGCTGAAACCCGTACTCGAACCCACCCACTTAGCGGTGCCAGCTCAGCCCTCTCACCACTGAGCCACCCGGCAACCTGTGACACCTTGACACCTTCCGTGTTGGTGACATCAACGGGGTGTGACTTGCGTTCGCACCGCTCGGTCACCTGGCCACCTCTAAAGACTTTGAGTGTTTTTATTTCCCCTGTCATTGGTTTCCTTCCGAGCATTTTCAGAGACTCGGAATGTTTCTTCTCTCTCCCGCCCGACCCCCGCTCCTCCCTGCAGGTGTTTGACCTCGTGTACAACTCGCACGACGCAATCCAGCAGATTGCGCGCTGCACGGGCTGGCAGGACACACTCGTCCGGCTCCTGGCCTGGGAGTCCAACCCCAACGCCCAGGCCGGGGACACCGCCAGCCCCACGGATGCCACCCCGCCGCTGGGGGTCGCCGTAATCCCCGAGGGAGAGGTCGCGACCCGGGCGGACGGGGACAAGGGGCCCCGAGGGCACCACAAGGCCAAGCTGTGCCGACAGGACACGCTGTCCAGCACGTGGTTCATACAGAGGTCAGAGGCTCGGAGACGGCAGGAAATGATGATTGAACACGGAGGGGTAGTTGAGCGAGATGAGAGGGGAGAAGTAGGAGAGTGCGTGGAGGGGAGTCGAGCAAGGTTAGAGGGGAGAGCTAGGCAGGGGTGATTCTGTAGGATCTGAAGGCAGTGGTGCCATCTTGAAATTGATCCGGAATTCGATCGATCTGTGATTGGCTTGGGAAGCAACAAAACAAACCTTAACCCCTTTTCGCAAATGGCGAACGAGACTGAATTGCGCGCGTGCCATCCCAGGAACGGCCAGGCGGAGGAAGCATCGGAGCCACTGGGCCGGCAAGCGGGCGACCCCGGGGAGGCCTACGACTTTCCGACGCGCGCGCGCTGCCAGGGCTCGTTCAGCTTCAACAACGGCATCGTCCTGGGTGGCGGGGACGGAGCGGCGGGCGCCAGCGACGGAGAGAGCGACAGCCTCGCCTCGCTCTCCTACCAGCCCCACACGCCCTTCCGCGACTCGCCCTTCGACCTGACCCTGGACAGCCCCCTGCCGGAGGGGGCGTGCACGCACGGGGCCCCTCCGGGCTCCAGGGGGTCCTTTGGGGTGGGCGCCCCAGCCGCGGGGGGCGGCGGCGGCGGTTCGGGGAGCGTGCCGAGCACCCCGTCCCCGCTCGACACGTGGAAGCCGTTCCCCGGATCCGTGAGCCGCCAGGAGTCGTCGCTATCGGACGCCTTCGATGAGAGCCTCCTGAACGAGGAGTTCTTCTCCCATGTGGAGCAATCGGTGGGTGAGGTGTGAGGGGTGAGGTGTGGGTGAGGGTAATGGACGAGGTGTCGGTGGAGTGGAGGTGGATTGCACTTTTTAAGGAATAGCGCATAGCGTTGCTCCTACTCTTAGCAATCGAATGTACAGGCGGTGCAACTGCAGGCTCGAAGAACCAGTTGCTGGAATCTCTAGAGGAAGAGAACTGGAAAGGGGGGGATGGGGGCCTGAATTAATTCCTCGACACCAGGGCCGATGTCAACTTCGCCACACCACCGTCTTTCGCCCCCTAACCTTCAACGGCGTCCACTGAGCGGCACGCGTGACCCCTGCCTCCCCCGCAGGTCCCCGTGGAGGAGGACCTGTGCGACCTGCTGGTGAGCGTGCTCTTCTCCGCCATGTGGCACGGCGTGGAGGGCTCGGACGAGTCGGCGTGGCGCGAGCGCGGCCAGGTGTTCACGGCGCTCACCAAGCTGGGCTCCCGCTGCCTGCTGCTGCGTCCACCCAGCCACATCAAGCGCTGGTGAGACCCTCGGCGATCCCCTCCCCAGCTCCCGCGACCCCCCCACAACCCCCCCCCCCCCCACGACCCCCCCGTGACCCCCCGCGCAAGCGGGTGGAGGCTCGGGCCAGCCGGCCGGGCGGCAGAGTGCTCCAACCCAACTTTCGCCCAGTTGCTGGTCCACCCACCTTGTGGTCAATGGGGTCCAACTGGAGAGACTGGGAATGTGGAGTTTGCGCCGCTGGCTCGGGGCCACTACCAATAGGCGAGCGGGAAGTGTCGTGGTTGGCGGGCTGCGCTATGCGCCGGGAAAGCCCAGTTCCTATCCTGGCACATATCTGAACCGGCCCTTGGTCTGCCCGAGGTCGACACAGCCTTAAGTGAGTACCTTGTGCGATGACAAAGGTGTGTGGTGCTGGTCATAACACGCCATCGTGCGGCGTGCCCACCTTAATAGATGCTCGCTTAACAGCACGTCTATATGGCTATACGTGGCATCTTTGTCTTTTTCCGATTGCCTGCCTATGTGTTTGGGTGTGTTTCGGTACGTGTGTATACGTATATATGTGTGTTGGTCTGTGTACCTAAGATGTTACGCGATTCAATGCCTGTGTGTCTGAGCCATGCGTGTCTGCGTCTTTCAGTGTCTGGCTATATATTTGTCAAACTGTGCACATGCGTGCGTGAACGTGCGTGCGTGCATGCACACGCGTCTGACTTGTGCGTCTGACCACAGCCTGCTGGAGCTCATGCTGGAGGCGTGCGTGTCGGACGTGCGCGACGCCGCGCTCGCCTCGCTGCCGGGGCTCGCCGACAACGCCCTGCGGCTGCTGCGCCTCGTGCAGGACCTCCTCATCACCGAGGGCCAGGCCTGCCCCGAGTTCTGGAGCCTCAAGGTACGTGGGGAGATGGGGAACCGCACCCTGCTGCTGCTGCTGCTCTTGCTGCGCGAACACCTTGCTCACTGATCCGTTAGTGTGTGTGTGTGCGTGTAGATGTGTGTGGCGAAGCGGTACGGAAGTGTAGCGGTTGGCGCGCTGCGCTATGAACCCGGTGACCAGAGTTCGATTCCCGCTCATGGCCAACACCAGTGACGATGATTTGAACCGGTCCTGTGCCTCCTCTAGGTCGACTCAGCCTCAATTGAGTACCTGGTGCAGTGTGTAAACATCGCCACGAGGGAGACAAAGGTAGCCGGGGCGTGGTGCTGGCCACCCACCCCCTTCAGTGCTGATCCTGCCTTCACAGGTGCTACTCGCTAACAGCACTTGTCCAACAGTCTGTTGAAGGCGACATGTGGGATCTTCGTCTATGTCGTTGTAGGTGATGGAGGGGCTGGTGACGCTGCTGGACACGCTGAGCGCACGGCAGGCCTCGCTGGGCACGCCGCTTGACCTCTCCGAGACGACGCACATCAGCCAGCGCCTCCTGCTGGGCTTCATCGCACACAGCGACACGCAGGTGCGTCGGAACGGAGAGGCCGTGCACGGCCGTGCGCCGTGTTGACCGGGGTTGCCCGCCCGGGCCTGCGTTGCGGAGTAACGCGGTTGTGCCGTCTGCAGGTGTGCGCCACCGCTGCCGCTAAGCTGCACACGCTGCTGCAGACGCGGCCGCTGTCGGGCCGCGAGGAGGCCGGCTACCTGCTAGGCCGCCTGGACGACGCCCTGAGCCGCTCGGCGCCGGAGCACGGGGCCCGCCACCGGGCAGCGTTCGACACCCACCCGTCTGTCGGCGAGGAACAAACATCTTCCGCAGTGGCAGATCGCACCGTTGACCCGAACCAGCTGACGCGGCAGGAGGCCGGGCAGCCGCCGTCTCGGCCTGGGACCCAGGACCCTGCCCATCCCCCGGACCGGCCGGCGGGCCGCAACGCGCCGGACCCGCAAACGGAGCGCTTGGCAGAGGAAGGGCACCGGTGCCACCGGTGCGACGGAGGCACCGGTGCCCGCACCGGGTCAGTGCGGCGGCGGTGGCGGCGGCGGGCCCGTGGCAGACTCCTTCGTGGTGCCCATGCTGCACGCTCTGCTGGAGCGTTGTCACAAGCTGCTGGCGCTGGCGGAACACCTACCAGGCCTGCCGGCGCCCAACGGCAGCCCCACGTGCCTGGACGACTTCCAGGTCTACTGCCGCTCGACTGAGTGGCGGCTCTTCGTGGACATCGTGGTACGTGTGGTGGTGGTGGTGGTGGTGGGCGCAGGGGGCGGCTGCATCGTGGCAGTGGCGTAAGCACTCGGCCAGGTCACCGCGACGTGGAAACACAATGTAAACATTGTAGACTATCAGGGACATGATACCCATCTATCGCTATTTTATCTCTCCGGATTGTCATTGCCCCTTTTTTCTTATATTTGTGAAATAACAAACTCTTATTTCTCGTGTAACGGGACAGCATGTGCTTTATGAGCACGATAGATTTTAAGATTGCAATGGTTATAAGACTTGTGGCTTGTTGACAGCGTTAAAGAACTTTTAACCAACTTTTATTCGCCCTTGAAGTACAGCAAAGCACAAAAGCAATACTGATATCGCGAAGACGTCACGCCAGTAACGTTCGCGTACCCACGCGTCGCATTCTAAACTAATCGCGTCGCCGTCGCGAGCCGTGCGTGGCCGGTCATCACCGGCGCTGTCCCCGCGGTGTCGTGCGGCGCCTCCGCAGGTGCTGCCGCTGATGAACCAGTTTGAGATGGAGCGCTTCGCCAAGGGCCACGACCGCATGAGCTGCTTCTGGAACTCGTGCTTCGACGCGCTCATGGGCTCTTCGTGCCGGCGCGACCGCCTCCGCAACGAGAGCCAGCGCAAGTTCCAGGTTCCCCGAACTCCCCGCCCCCCGCCGCCACCACCTTCGCCTTCTCTACCCACGTCCTCACGGCGTTGTTGTGCGATAAACATGCACTGCGAGCGAATCGCCTGTTGTGCGGATATTAGCCAATCAAAAAAAGGCAGGGTGTTTCACAGGACGCTATTCTAACTTACTCGATCTGTTGATCGCTTGCACATGAATCGACACAGTGATTAACCCTAAACGTATCGAGGCTCTAATGTGGTTGTCGGATCGACTGAGTAGAATCAATACAATAGACACCTCGATTCGGGGTCCACAAGACCATATATGGGCAGAGAAACGCCCCTACGGGCAACGCCTACTTTTTTCTCATCACCACTGATTGGTGATCAGTGGTGTCCGGTTTTAGTGGATTACAGCACCTTTTGCTTTGTTTGTTTATAATTGAGTGAATTTTTTTACAGTGGGCACGTAATTGGGGGTGTTTCCTGCGTAGTAGCTAAGTGCTGTACGACCACGGCTTGAAATTCTCATGACGGAATCCTCTTGGTCGTGTCCACGAATCGCGATCGTGACGCCGTCATAATTTTCGGCGCTTCCGCGGCCAGCAAATCGTAGTTGACCCCTGGGCGTTGACCCCTGGGCGTCGCCCCCCCCCCCCGCCCCATGGCCGCGTGCAGGACCAGGTGATGGAGCCGTTCCGCCGGCGCACGCGCGGGGAGAGCGCGCGCTTCAACAGCTCGCTCAAAACGCAGGCGGCACAGCTGACCGCGTCGCTGCGCCAGTGGCGCCTCACCCGGCGCTACCTCTCGAGCGAGCGCGGACCCTGGGCCGACCCGTGAGTCTCATATCCTCCACCCCCCTCCGCCCCCCACCCCCCACCCCCCACCTTGCCAGCCAGGGCTGCCAGGAGAATCGCACTGCTGTCGATTCTACGCTTCACAACGAAGGTCGACATTGTTTAAGAACGAGCTGTGCCCTACAAGAGTAACACAAGGTAGTCACGGAGATTATAACTAACAAAATAAATAAGCAGGCAATTCGCCTCATTTCCATGTCTATTTCTCCACGTTTTTTTTCCACACATCCCATCATCCATAATTTCAGAGAGGTCCTTTCCAATAAGCATCTCGTATTCCACCAGCAATGGTTCAAACAAGCCCGACCGCTGATGAGACACTGAATGTGTTAAACCAATGCTGCTCGAAAAGCATCACTCCCAGAAGGCCATGGAGCCCATAAGGACACGCTCGCTTTACAGACCTCACATCGACTATTGATAAAAGTACGATGATGACCGTGACGATGATGTTTGTTTGCTCACGCAGGGAGGCTTCCCCGATCCACTGGAGGCTGGCGAGCGCGGAGACCGACTCTGACATGCGCCTCAAGCTGGAGCCCAACCTCTCGTTCCGGACGCACCGCGAGTCCAGCGCGCTGAGGGATAACCACGGTGCGGTGGCGCGGCGTGGGGCGCGGTGCCGTGGCTGCACGGGGGCGAGGGCGGGTGCCGAGAGCGGTGGCCGACCGTGAACGGGGTTCATTCGCGTGCTGACCTTGCTTCCTGTGTCCCCCGCGACGACGCAGGCGCCCAGCAGGTGTCCGTGCCGGCAGACAGCCTCTCCCTCGTGGTCGTGAAGGAAGCCAAGGTAGACGAGGTGGACGAGGACAAGCTGGAGGACGAGGAGGAGATCGCCCCCGTCGCCCCGCTGTGAGCACCGCCCCCCGCCCCCCACCAGCACGCTCGGCGTTCGACGGCACGGTGCGCGGCGTTCGCGTCGACTCGGCGGTCGACCGATCGTCTCGTTGTTTTATCGCAGTGTCCTGCGCCGCCTCCCGCCCCCCGCCAGTGGAACCGGCGAGGGCGAGCAGAGCCAGAAGGAGAAGTTGGTGCTGGCCGAGGAGTGCCAGCTCATCAAGATGGTGGACGCCGTGCCCGGGCGACTGGAGCTCACGACGCACCACGTCTACTTCTACGACCTGTCCGGCGACAAGGAGGAAGGTGCGAGCGGGAGGGAGCGCTGACGGTGCTCGTCACTGTAGCAGCACTTGTACCAACAGTCTCTGTTGGCTGCCCGTCTTTGTGTATGTGGGTGTACGTGTGCCCTTCTCTAGTCCTGACCTGCCACCCCCTGATGAACGAATGAACGAATGAGTGTTCATGTGCTGCCCCAGGCATGGGGTTGGACTTCAAGTGCCCGCTGTGGCAGCTGCGGGAGGTTCACCTCCGCCGGTACAACCTGCGGCGCTCGGCACTCGAGATCTTCTTCATCGACCAGACCAGCTACTTCCTCAACTTCACCAAGGAGGTGCGTGCCTGTGTGTATGTGTACACGTGTGTGGCACGGCGTGTGTGAATGCAGGTGGTGGATCTGCCAGTCATCTCGGTCAACTGATAACACCGTGACCTATTGCGAGCAAACTTTTGACACTTCACAAAGCCTCAAAGTGCACCTTGGCCTGGCACAAACACGTTCCGCTGTGTTCTGTTTAAATAGGTGGGAGGTGTTTGCGTCTGTGTAAAGTATGTGTGTGTGTGACGGTATATAAATTGTAGCTTGTACTATGGTATGATCTACACGAGTACGTGGGAGACAAAAGTAGCCAGATGTGCATGGTGTGTATCACACCACCCAGCTTCATGTATGGAATGATTTCCGAAGGCTGTGACCTTTAAAGGTCACGGCCTCGAAGTCATCCTGCAGCGGTTAGTATCGCATAACTCGGCTGCTTGGGTCCAACGGTGCACTCATGAAGGCGCGTCTGACACTGGCGATGGTGATTATGATGGTGATTGTGGCACTGTAGGTCAGGAACCGGGTGTACAGCCGGATCGTGGGTCTCCGCCCCCCAAACCTTGTCTACTACGGCTCACGCTCCCCGCAGGAGCTGCTCAAGGCCTCGGGGATAACGCAGGTAGCGTCGCCGCGTCGCGCCACTGCAACCCGAGGCTGCTCGCGGAGAAAGCGTCTCACCTCTCGTCTCTTGCCCCTGCGACTGTTTGTTGTTTTTGTTGTCAGCCTGCAACATGTCACGTTCTGAGGCCACTCGGTCAAGTTGGCAAATGCCTCGAAGCAGCAGCAGCTTCTCAGAGTGTTTGTCCGTCTCCCTTCCTCCCTCCCCTCCCCTCCCCTCCCTCCCTCCCTCCCCTCCACCCACCTGCCCGCCACCCCCTTCCCGTGCTCCGTGCTCATGTCCGGTAGAAATGGGTGAACCGGGAGATCTCAAACTTCGAGTACCTGATGAAGTTGAACACAATCGCTGGGCGCACCTACAACGACCTGGCGCAGTACCCCGTGGTACGTACGTGCGCTCGGGCTAGGCCCCGCACATGCTCCCATATGCACACACGCACACCCATACACACACTCTCATAGGAGGTTCCTCATCATTATCATTCTCGTCATCAATTGTGAATGATCCATTGCTGCGTGAAGGCCTCCCCACGTCGCCTCACCGTCATTCCGTGCCTGGCCACCTTTCTCCCCCCAGTGCTGATGTTTACACAGCACACCAGGTAATGACAGTCGCTCTTTGTTTTGTTCTCATTCACAAAGCTTCATGTCGGGACAGCCTAGGACACAGCAGAGGAAAATCACAGCTGTTTAATTTTTGGGAATTTGTGTCTTTATTTACGCAGAGACTGTGTCTGCGTTTGTGAATGTGTGCATGTATGCGTGCGCGTGTCTTTGCAGTTCCCCTGGGTGCTCAGCGACTACACGTCCGACGAGCTGGACCTGAGCAACCCGGGGGTGTTCCGCGACCTCTCCAAGCCCATCGGCATCGTGAGCGAGCGCAACGCCAAGGAGGTCAAGGACAGGTGAGTGGCGCTCCGCCACCCCGGCGCCCGCTCGGCCTCGCGGGGAGCCCCGCGCGCGACGGAGTCGGTCGTGGGGACGGGAATGGGAGGTTTAGGCTCGGTCGTCGGGTCGAGCTGCAGAGTCGCGACCGGCGTTGTCTTGCGTCTAACTAGTGCCCCCTGCTCATTCCCGATTCCTCGCGGCCCATTTTGGCCGCTTCTCTCCCAGTCCCCAATACCGAGTGTGTGCTACCAATCTCCGCGGGGACTCGGCCCTCTGCGTTTTTATTATTTTGTAATCCCGGCACTGAGCGACGTCCGGCGAGCCACGCAGATCGGCTTGACGGTCTGTGTTCTCAATCGCTGACCGACCTTCTCATCGCTGACCCACTTTCTCAATCGCTGACCCACGTTCTCAATCGCTGACCCACGTTCTCAATCGCTGACCCACATTCTCAATCGCTGACCCACATTCTCAATCGCTGACCCACATTCTCAATCGCTGACCCACGTTCTCAATCGCTGACCCACATTCTCAATCGCTGACCCACATTCTCAATCGCTGACCCACTTTCTCAATCGCTGATCCACTTTCTCAATCGCTGACCCACATTCTCAATCGCTGACCCACGTTCTCAATCGCTGACCCACATTCTCAATCGCTGACCCACATTCTCAATCGCTGACCCACTTTCTCAATCGCTGATCCACTTTCTCAATCGCTGACCGGCGTTCTCATTCGGCGGTCCGCGTTCTCGCTGTCCACGTGTCTCAGGTACGAGAACTTTGAGGACACGACGGGCACGACGGGGAAGTTCCATTACGGCACCCACTACTCGAACGCGGCGGGTGTGATGCACTACATGATCCGCGTGGAGCCACTCACCACGCTCCACATCCAGCTGCAGAGCGGCAGGTGCGTAGCGCGCTCGCCACGGCGCCCACGCGTTTCAACCCCCACTCATTCACACGCTCACCACGGCGCTCGCTCACTACTCCCACCTTGTGATTATTGTCCCCAGGTTCGACTGCGCCGACCGGCAGTTCCACTCCATCCCGGCGACGTGGCAGGCGCTCATGGACAGCCCCAATGACGTCAAGGAGCTCATCCCAGAGTTCTTCTACTTCCCCGAGTTCCTGGAGAACCAGAACGGTGCGTCGCCGGATTTAACGCTTTCCAACCACGGTTAAAAGTGTTTGTGCGTTAGCTCCGTCCGCCCGTTTGTCCGGGGTCACAATAACTCTCGTAACGATGATCCAAGAGGGAGGTACTTTTGTGTAAGGCTGTGTCGCTATTAGGATATCGCCCTCAAGCAAACCGGCCATAAACTTACCCACAACTTGGGAGACAAAATCGTTACGTAGTTATCGTGTTGGCACGGGACACGGAAGCGAGTTTTGTCATGAACGCCGGTCGTTTTGCCCGTGGCCTTGTGCAGGCTTTAACCTGGGGACGCTGCAGATGTCCCGTGAGACGGTGAACAACGTCGTGCTGCCGCGCTGGGCCAAGTCTCCCGACGACTTCATCCGCAAGCACCGCGCCGCGCTGGTGAGTGTGGCCCTGCGTGACGCCGTGGATGACCGTGCGTGGGAGGGTGGTGATGTTGGTAGGAGGGCGGCAATGGCGGTGGGAGAGTGGCGGTGACTGGAGGGCGACGACGACGATGTCTCAACTCTTAAACATTACACATTTTTCAGTGCTGTTTATTGCTGGCCACATGGCATCGCGGCCCCTCGCTCAGCAGCGGTATAAATACATAATAAAGCCCACCGTGGCATTGCCGAGTGGCTGTGAGAGAACGGAGCGCGCGTGCGGTGGTGCCCCACAGGAGTCGGAGTTTGTGTCGGCCCACCTGCACGAGTGGATCGACCTGATCTTCGGCTATAAGCAGCGGGGCCCGGCGGCCGTGGAGGCCCACAATGTCTTCTACTACTGCACCTACGAAGGTGAGTCCCAGGCCTCCTGGCAAACCGCGCTCGTCGGCGAGCACCGTCGTCGTCGTCGTCAATGGCCGAGGGAGGTGAGCGGCGAGGTGTGGGTGGCGCGCGGTGTCTGAGCAGAGCGCGGTGTCGTGCTGCAGGCGCCGTGGATGTCGACGCCATCGAGAACGAGATGGAGCGCAAGGCGGTGGAGGGGATGATCAGCAACTTCGGGCAGACGCCGTGCCAGCTGCTCAAGGCACGCACGCACGCGCGCGTACATGCACGGGCACGGCCCGCACAATCACGCAGGCATGCACACTCGCACACACAGGTGCACACCAATACACACAACCACACAGCTGAACGCATATGTACACACATTGATACACACATGAACACACAGTCGCACGTAGAGGTGCGCACACACACAGTCTTAACCTTAAGTAAAACTCAAATATATATTTTGTGGTTGCCCAAATCCTGACGTCACGTTTGCTGTGCCGCGTTTTCCATGCCGCCTCCACCAGGAGCCGCACCCGTCGCGTCTGTCGGCCGTGTCGGCGCTCCGAGCCCTCTCACGCACAGACACCTTCACCATGAATCTCTTCCTCAACACTTCCGAGCTCAAGACGTTCTTTGAAGAGGTGCCGTCACCCTCGCGCCAAACACATCCCACCCCCACCCAGGGCCCCCCCCCAACTCCTCCCCTTTGAGCTGAGATTAAGATGAAAGAGCTGTAGACCGGAGAGTTTAGCTTCATTTGATGCCAGAGATAAACAAGAGAGAAATGAGAGTCCAGGAGACAAGAGATTAGTCTGTTCTGTGTCTGTTCTCGTATTTGTTCCTTGGTGCTGCGTGCCCTGTATCCGTGTGCCTTTTCCCCTGTTCCTGTGTCCCCGTGTCCTCACGTGCCCATGTCTCCGTGTCCCCCCCGTGCCGCCTGCAGGGCATCAGCGATGACATTCCCATCGTGAAGGCCGTGGTGCCGAGGAATCAGCCTCGCTCCTTCATCTCGCAGGGCGGCCTCGAGACACTGGTGGGTGCCACCCTCGGGGCCGCATCCGCTCCCCACGCACTCGGCAATCACTCGCTGCGACAGCGACGAGTTTTGTTGTGTGCCAAAGTGTGCGCGTGTGTGTGTGCGCTGTTCAGGTGACGGTGAGTGCCAACAGCCTGGTGGGCGCGCACGGCTGGCTCCCCTACAACAAGAACATCTCCAATTACTTCACCTTCTCACGGGACCCTTCGGTCGCAAGCATCAAGTACGTCCTCTCCTTGTCCCCGTCCTGTGTCCCATGTGTCCTCATGTCCCTTGTGTCTCTTGTGTTCACTCTGTCTTACGGCCACCAGATCCCATATGCCCCCTTTGCCATTCCAGTCTCTCATGTGCCACGTGTCCACCATGCCCCATGTGCTCACATGAGCAATGATTGAACGCTTGGTAGTTTTGTTAAATGGTTACAGAAGATGTTTACGTGTGTGTGCGTGTTTGTCCGTTGCACACGCCGTTTCTCTCACAGGACCCAGCGCTACATCACGGGCCCGCTGGCGCCCGGCCTGGAGGCGTCGTGCCGGCTGTATGCCGTCTCTCTGGACGGCAAGCTGCTGTTCAGCGCCGGCAACTGGGACAACAGCGTCCGCGCCACGTCGCTGGGCAAGGCGCGGCCCGTGGCGCACTACACCCGCCACATCGGTACGAAACCTCGCGACGCCGCTGGCGGCGGCGGGTTCACGCGTCCGCCAGTTCTTCCTCCTCGCCGCTTCGTGCCCGCTTCGCAAAGGGGTGTTATTGGTAGAGGCGGTCAGCTGACCAGCCACAATTCCTTCCTGTGTATTGGCTCAAGTCGGGGCAGGAGAGTTTTCAAATACGTTTGACATCATCGAACACCCCGATCACTTGCTACGAGCGAGCGCACTGAAATCAGAAGCACGGCTTTGTGGTCAGGTTGAAATACATTCCCACCCTAGTACTAGATTGGTGCGGCTCACGTGATCGCAGTGACAGATGAATGTCGCTCGCGTGTGGCCGAGGACAATGCGACGTCAGGTTTTCCCTGTAATTCCATCGATGGTTCCGTCCCGTTGTAACCGTGCCTCTGGTCCACCTCTGTCAGCCGGTGTCGGCGCCGTCGAGCCCGCGGTCTTTCTTGTCGTTTTGCCGCCCGCGGCGCGCAGACATCGTGACGTGCCTGGCGCTGGACGGTTGCGGCATCCACCTGGTGACGGGCTCGCGGGACACCACGTGCATGGTGTGGCAGCTCCTCTACCAGGTGCCCGCCACGCGTGCGCGCCATGTCACAGCTCTTCCAACTGAGCTGCGCGCGGCCGTGCGCCGGCCTCGTCCATCTGTCACGGTCGCTCGTGTGAACGAGGCTCGTCCTGGCCCCTCGAGTTCTAACCCGGTGAAGCACGATAAACTTGAAATTCGATTTGAAATGCATATTCTTGTCTGTCTACTACATAGGGAATCTTTTTCCCCGTGTGCGTGCACATGTATGTGCTGCAGGGTGGGATATGCGTGGGGTTGATACCCAAGCCGCTGCAGGTGCTGTACGGCCACACAGCGGAGGTGCTGTGCGTGGCCATCAGCACCGAGCTCGACATGGCTGTCTCGGGCGCCAAGGTGAGACACACGCAACATCGACAACATCAACAACAACAGCTGCCGGTTGCTGAAGATGGCACCACAGCGCTTGTGTTAGGCTAGGTGCTTGGCAGGAGATCACGGGACAGGCCCAGGTGTGTGGGGTAAATAGCTGACCGCTGCACCACCTGTGTTTCAGCACCTATGTTCTAACACCTGTGTTCCAGCACCTGTGTTCCAGCACCTGTGTTCCAGCACCTGTGTTCCAGCACCTGTGTTCCCCACTGCCACCTTGCTGGGTGTTAACTGTCCGGTGCCCTAGAAGGCAGGGGTGGCTTAGGCAAGCACCATTCCTCTGCTCTCCTTTGTCCGACTCGATTGGCTTCCCGTCTACTACCGCTGTTTATGCAAATTCCTCGCCGTCGTTTACCAATCGCTCCATGCTCCAGCCCCGTCCTATCTCGCTTCTATTATTTATCACTTCACTGAACCATTTTTCGTTTCTCTCTTATGACTGATCTTCTTTCATTAGCCTATCCCTCTTACTTCCTGTCCTTGTCCGTAAAACATTAACCATCCTCCCCCTTCCTTACCTCGCCCCTCCCTTTCCCTGTCATCACCCTCCCTTGCCATCCATTCCCCTCCCCAATTCTCAAATCCCATCCCTTTTCCCCATCAGCCAATAACTAATGTACCATTTCTAATTATTTTAAAGTGCTTTGACAAAGTCGCTATGTTAAATCCTCGATTAGATAACACTGCGACACAACGCAGCATGAAGCAACGGAGGCCCATCACCAACAACAACAACAATACGGAGCCCCAGGGGCAGCTGGGCAGCCAGGGCAGCACCAACGTGCCCCAGGGCATCCTCTGCTGGCCGGGTCCCTTCTTCATCACGTCATTGCTACTCAGCAGCGCGGGGTGTGCGCCGGTCATCTTCCCGGACTGTTCACCGGCGCCCGCCCGCTCACGTGTGTGTGTGTGCGCGCGCCAGGACGGCATGGTGATGGTGCACACGGTGCAGCGCGGCCAGTACATGCGCTGCCTGCGCCCGCCGTGTGAGAGCTCCCTGCCGCTGTCCGTGCCGGCGCTCGCGCTCTCCTGCGAGGGCCACGTCGTCGTGTACAGCACGCTGGAGGCCAAGGCCAGCCTCAAGGTGAGCGGCCCTCCCCGTGCCCAACCACGCTCGCCACCCTCTCACCACACTAATATCTGCCACGCTCACCACGCTCGCCACACTCGCCACGCACACCACGCACACCACGCACACCACGCACGCCACGCTCGCCACGCGCACCACGCGCACCACGCTCGCCACGCACACCACGCTCGCCACGCACACCACGCACACCACACACGCCACGCTCGCCACGCTCGCCACGCGCACCACGCGCAGCAATCTGTACGCCGCGGCGTAGAGGGCGCTCTTTCGAAGGCAAGCCTGCCTCGTTGACTCGTGCGATGGCTGCGTGTGCAGGACAAGCACACGCTGCACGTGTACTCTGTGAACGGGCGGCACCTCGCCTCCCAGGGCCTGTACGAGCAGCTCACCGACCTGTGCGTCGCAGGGGAGCACGTGGTGCTGGGCAGCATGCAGTGCAACCTGTCCATACGGCACCTGCACAGGTACCCGCACGCTCGCTCGCACACCTGTGTGGGTGCAACAGGCTCGCCCGTGAGGGTAGGTCGTGGTGGCAGACATGTGCTCACCCGCATGGGATAACCGTTATGGGTGGCGCAGGCCCTCTCCTGCAAAATCCACTACCTTTCCCCTCGCCTTGCGATTCATCTCTTCCCATGTCCCCACCACGCCCCCACTTCCCCGTGCTCCCCGTTCCTCCCCGTGCTCCCCTCCATTCCGCCCCGTTCCCCTACCTCCCCCGTGGTGGCAGCCTGGAGGAGGTGACGTCGCTGGCGATGCGCGTGCCCGTGCACTGCGTCTCCGTCACGAAGGAGTGCAGCCACGTGCTCGTCGGCCTGGCCGACGGCAAGCTCATCTTCGTGGGCGTCGGGCGGGCACCCGAGGTACGCGCACGCACGTAGTCGCACACGTACCTATTCGCTCGCGCGCCCACACACTCGCACAGCCGCTCACTCGCACACAGCCACGCACGCGGACTGCTGCTGTTGTTGCCAAGGCCCCACATTCCTCATTGCAAACGGCAACGTAAGCACGCACTAAGCGTGCCTTCCCACGCATGTGTGTGCGCGCGTGCGCTGTCACAGATCCGATCGGGGCAGCTGCGCAAGCTGTGGGGCAGCACCAAGAGGATGAGTCAAGTGTCGGCCGGGGAGACGCGGTACAACCCGTCGTGAACACGCTCCCCACCCCCTCCCGGCCAACGCCGCCCATCATCGCCCCGCGGTTACGGACCCTCCGTCCGCAATGCCGCCACCGCGTGCGTGCAAGGCTTGTGTGTCTGCGTGTCTGTCTGTTGGTTGCCTGTGTTTGGAGGTTGCTGGCCGGGTGGCCGGGTGGCCGGGTTGGTGTGTGCTCGACAGCTGATCGGCTGCGTTCGATGCACAGGAAGGAGGATTTCTATCGTAATGGTTACATTTTGCACTTGTGGAAGGGGAGCGTGGAGACGTTGTAAACTCGCGTTCCAAGGAGCGGAGCGCCCCATTGTCCGGGCTCGCTCGTCTCGTCTCTGAACGATTTTTTCCCCGCCACGGATTCGCTGTCATGCAGCGGTAATCACGGAGCGGGCCCCGGTTCTGGCCCTCGCCGAACACAACGGAGGAAGGTGGCGAGACGATCGGGGCCGCGTCACAGTTTTGCTGCGCGCGACACAAATGCACTGGGATTTACACTGTAGAGGCGCCTATCACTTTCAAGTGTAATTATTATTTTTAATTGTTTCGATCCGGTTTTAAATGCAGTGAGGGCGAAGGGTTCCGCTCGCCCACCGGGTATTTTCCGCGCACGCACACACACACACATACCCTGTCACTCTGAGCAAGACGCGGCGCTCGCGCCCGGCCCGGGGGATGGAGCTGCCCGTAGCTCCGTGCCCGCCAAGGCCGCCCTCTTCCCACCGAACCTCAGCGCCGCCTCCCGGGCGAGGCCGAGCGAGCGGGTGTGGGCGTGTCGAGCCGCGGTGCGCAATGGGCCACCGACGCCGGGCGGCACGAGGCTGTGCTTGTCGCCTCCACGGCTGCAGTAATGTTCCGTGGGGGGCGGGGGCCGTTTGTCGGACGCTGCGGCTGCCGATGTTATCCTAGCCGAGGGCATTTCCGAGCAAGCGCGTGCCGGGTTCGGGACGGGCGCGGGAGCGGTTGCGCGGCACCACAGTGACACCGGGGCCGCGCCGGGTGGGCGCGCTCTCGAGCGGGGGCGCCGGGGTTTGCCGCCCGTGCCGTGCCCCTCCCCCGCGCGTCCCGTCCGCTTCTGGAACGTCGGCCCCTCCCGGCCGTGCGGCCACGGTCACCGCTCCCATTATCCGAGGTTGCGGATGGAAGCCGTGCTCGCGACAAAATTAACAATGGTGTTCTCGAGGCCTTGCGCGCGGGAGCACCGCGCATCCTCGCTCTTGATGACCCGGTCATTGAAAAGAGCCACAAATAATTCACCCCCGTGCTACGTAATCGGTGGATACGTTTGTCACCCTATTGTGCATATGATTTGCATTGTCCACGTTTCAGTTAATCCCGAGCCCTGCCTGCCCCCCCCCCATCACCCCGGGTGATGGAGAGTGGACCGCACCGTTGTTGTCGCGACGGGCGAGGAGAGCGCCGCTGGAGGACGCGGGAAGTGGGACGGACACCAGTCGCGTCGCCGCCGTTAATGTGAAGGGGACAGAGTGGAGCGACGGGGAACGGCAACGGGGGAGGATGCTACAGCGAGCTCGTCGCTTCCCCATGCGTGCGCAGCAAGGACCAATTATATCGACGCGGTGTGCGTGTGTGCGCGCGCGTGCGTGTGCGGTGTGCGTGTGTGTCGACGGCGGTTCGAGGGCACAGAAGGCATCGCCAGCTAATGTGGGGAGCCGCTCTGTCCGCATCATCGCAGCTTCGGTTTAGAAGTCCACGAGTGGGATGGGGATGGGACCAGCAGGTTTTGGAGGTCACAAGGCGTCGATTGTGCAAATGCCGCCGGATCTGGCAAAAAGGGAAACGATGGATGGGCGCGGTGGTGGCGATGGCATCACCGGGCTTTTCCGTGGTGACCTTTCCAACGTAACCCCCGCGTGGGTTTTCGCGGTTGCTCCACGCAGCTCTGCTACGTGTCTCCGGGTTGCGCCACCGTACGCCGATCAGCACGATGGACGCGTGGAGCGAACCGCCGGACATCGTGACGAGCAATGCGTGGCACAAACCGAAAAAGTGCCGGAGAACCTCTTCTTTAACTCGGGTGCCTCATCCATACCGAAAAACAGCCTCTCAAGGGGGGCGGGGGGGGGCACATGCAGAGCAGAGGCGGGGGGCGGGAGAGGGCGACACTTCTATTCACTGGAGAGGCTGGGACACCCCCCAGAATCGCTCTAGAATCGCCGCTGCCCTCTGCGTGCGCGTCTCCGCGTGCGGCGTGCGGCGTGTACCTTGATACCTCGCGTGTCCTCGCAAAGCGCCGAGAGTCGGACCAAAAACTTATTGTGGCCGGGCACCGTGGAAGAGGCTGGAGGAGCACTTTAAGGTGGCCGTGCCCTTTCAGGTCGGGTTGTGAGCGGCGAGTTGGCGTGCGTCGGGGTTTATTCACGGTCAGTCGAGGTGTCGGTGTGCAAGTGCGTGTGTGCGTGCTTCGAGGCGAATCAAGTTCAGGTGTTGTCTGCTGGGAGGCCGATGACTGCTTGGCCCGTCCTTATTTTATTTTCGTCCTGTACAATGAACTTGTAACGTTGGATTTTTTTTATTTCTAATGAACCTTGAATTTTATGTATATATTGAAATATCGCGGTTTTAATAAAGATCTCTATTCTGTACAGCGTAACAATGCGAGCCCCACGTGCCGTTCTTGAGATGCGTTTTCGTCGCCCGACGAGTGGGCATAGGCAGGGCACGGCCCGAGAGGGGACGGGAGGTGGAGACTCAAGGAGGAGTGGCAGCCAAAGGAGGGAATTCACGCTCCGAGGGTGCGTCTACCGCCGTGTCGCGATGGAGCGAAGAAATCCACACGTGGAGGTGCTGGGTGGACCGTGACGTGTGGCGATGGCTTGGGGAGGCCTTCATCCAGCAGTGGATGGATCGTGGCTCATGATGAAGACATCGCACCCACAGAGTGATTGTGGTGAATCTGTAGAGTGGGTGAGTGGTGTCTGTGTGTGTGCTGTGTTTAGTGCGAGTGGTGAGTTTGTCGAATGGGGGGAGTATTTACTAGAATAAGCCAAGAATGTCCTGTACGTGACGTCACTCCACATGAAGGCCACGCCCCGCGTGACGTCACTCCACATGAGGCCCACCCACCTCATTAATATTCATGAGTGAGTGGATTTTTACACGAACGCAGAGGAAGGTCGAGCCGAATTAAATAATTTATTACGCAAAGTCGCTTCAAATGACGTTTCTTTACAGAAAGTGACGGTAAAACATTAATCTACGCAGCACAGTGCTACATCCCTGCGTGACGTCACTGTTAAAGAGCCCCCCCCCCCCTCTTCATTAATGTTCATGCCCACGTGGAAATATACACTCACTCACAAGAATGTCGCGCACTCCACATGCCGCACCCCTCCCCTCATTAACAATCATGAGCGGGTGATGTCACTCCACATGCTGCACCCCTCCCTCATTAACAATCATGAGCGGGTGACGTCACTCCACATGCCGCACCCCTCCCCAATAACCCTTAGCGGGTGACGTCGCTCCACATGGGGCAACCCCCCCTCATTAATAATCATGAGCTGAACAATTTTTCTATTGAATATTTCAGATTTACTGCAATTTACACCCGTCCTTGGACGGGCAAACAAGCTCGTTGTTTTATAATGGGTGAGTGGTGTGGCGTGTGTGCAATGTGGTGAGCAGTGTTTGAGTTGTAGTGTGTGTGGTGAGGGTCTCGAGTGAGTGGTGCAGATGGTGTATTTTGATAACTTGTGGTTAATGTGGTGAGCGGTGAGCTCGTAGGCCGGATGAAGAGTGGTGGGTGAGTGAGTGGTGAGCTAGGAGGCTTGGTGAATGGGTGAGTGGTGAGCTTAGAGGCTGGATGAATGGTGAGTGGGTGAGTGGTGAGCTCGGAGGCTGGATGAATGGTGAGTGGGTGAGTGGTGAGCAGTCGGCTGGATGAATGGTGAGTGGGTGAGTGGTGAGCTTGGAGGCTGGACGAATGGTGAGTGGGTGAGTGGTGAGCTCGGAGGCTGGATGAATGGTGAGTGGGTGAGTAGTGAGCTTGGAGGCTGGATGAAGAGTGGTGGGTGAGTAGTGAGCTTGGAGGCTGGATGAATGGTGAGTGGGTGAGTGGTGAGCTTGGAGGCTGGATGAAGAGTGAGTGGGTGAGTGGTGAGCTTGGAGGCTGGATGAATGGTGAGTGGGTGAGTGGTGAGCTCGGAGGCTGGATGAATGGTGAGTGGGTGAGTGGTGAGCTTGGAGGCTGGATGAAGAGTGAGTGGGTGAGTGGTGAGCTTGGAGGCTGGATGAATGGTGAGTGGGTGAGTGGTGAGCTTGGAGGCTGGATGAAGAGTGAGTGGGTGAGTGGTGAGCTTGGAGGCTGGATGAATGGTGAGTGGGTGAGTGGTGAGCTTGGAGGCTGGATGAATGGTGAGTGGGTAAGTGGTGAGCTCGGAGGCTGGGCGTGCGGTGAGCGTGGTGCGCGAGTGACCACCTCCACCGCCCAGCATCTCGGCCGCCAATCCCAGAGTTCGCAGCGCGTGAGACGGCGGCGATCGAGGCCCCGGGGTCATCGGGGCTGGACCAGCCACAGGGCCCCAGGCACCGCCCAGTCGCCACCCCAGTCACCACCCCGCCCTCACCCCGGGACAGACCGAGACGCGGCTTGCCGGGGTCCGGCGTGGACGCGAGGGACTGCGACTCGGCGCCGTGGCCACGTGAGTCTCGCGCTGTTCGTTCGCCACGTGACGATTGCGTGCACGAAGGGATGAATGTTTTTTTCTTATTTTAAACGAAGGAACGAGCCGATACGTGATTTGAAACAATTGACGAGGGAGCTGATGAATGAGTGGATGCACAAGCGGTTGGATGAGTTTAGGAGCGGATGAATGATTGATGAGCTGAGAAACGAGCGAATGAACGAGTGAATGAGTCGTTCTCGCTCACTGTATTTCGGTTTTAAAGTGCAACTTCCAGCTTCGTGATATGCTGCCCGTGATTGTTGTGTTGTGGTGTTGGTGTGTATACTGTTATGGGGTTGTAGTGTGTGGCTGTGTTTTTGCACGGTGGTGCTGTGGATGCTGTGTTACGTATGTTGTGTCAAGGTGTTGTTGAGTATCGTTGTAGCTGCGCTGTGTTGTTGTGGAGCTTGCTGCGTCGGTATTGTGGTGGTGTTGTGTGCGTTGTGTTATCGTGCTGGTGTGTGTGTGTTGGTATTGTGGTGAAGAGTTCTAATCGTGGCATTGTACGCTGTGGTGTTGTGGTCGAGGGCTGTTGACATAATTTTTGATAATTTGAACATGAGAACACTGTTACAGTCCTGACCCTGACCCGGCCTGAACCTTAACCCTGACCCAGCCCAAACCCTGACCCAGCCCTGACCCAGCCCTAACCCTGACCCAGCCCTAACCCTGACCCAGCCCTGACCCTGACCCAGCCCAAAGCCTGACCCAGCCCTGACCCTGACCCAGCCCTAACCCTGACCCAGCCCTGACCCTGAACCAGCCCTAACACTAATTCTGACATAACCCTGACCCAGCCCAAACCCTGAACCAGCCCTAACACTAACTCTGACATAAACCTGACCCAGCCCAACCCTGAACCAGCCCTAACACTCACTCTGACATAACCCTGACCCAGCCGTAACCCTAGCGCTGACCCTGGCCCCACCACAACTATGACCCTGACCGTGAGCCCGACTTGAACTCTAACGGTGACGTTGCGAGTGTCACGTGAGAAGGCCGTGTGTGCTGCGGCCCTGGCTGCCGACCAGTGACGTGTGTATGTTGAACTTCTTTCGCACCGTACGTAGCCAACCGTGCTAATCGGAAGTGCGGTGGAAGCGACGAGGAGGCGCCATGGGTGTGGACGGGAGAGTTGCCGTGATCAAATACCTCGTCTTTGTCTTCAACCTCCTCTTCTGCGTGAGTTCACCCCCCCACCCCCCTCCCCGCAACACGCTCCGCGTGCTGTCCACGTGGAATCCTCGACAGCTCTTGCCGTGCCGGTCCGCTGCTGGCGGAAAACCTCCCCACGCCGCGCCGATCGAAGATGTTGTTTGGCCATACTTCTCCACGCTGGTTGCTGGCCAGTGCGGGTTGGTGAGGTGCGTCGGTTCAGATTGTCACTCGCCACCGATGTTACCGCCGTGGCCGCGAGTCAAACTCGGGCCGCACCGAGCGGCGCGTGGACGAATGGCCACTGCAAGCCACGTGGCCGTCAAGAGGCGTGGGGCGACGGGAGAGTGGCTCCATCGTCCAGCCGCGGCGATGGAAGAGGAACCACCGATCACGCAGTCGCAATTGGGGAACATCTCGCGCCCGTGAGTGGCGGCGCAGTGGCAGCAGCCGCAGCCGTGACCGCGGCCGCCGTCACGCGGCGCGGACTCCGCGTGCGGCTCGCCCACGCGCAGCGCACGTGGCCTTGTTTACTGCGCGTGCGTGTGAGTGTGTGTGAGTGTGCGCGTGTGTGAGTGTGAGTGCGTGTGTGTGAGTGTGCGTGTGTGTGAGTGTGCGTGAGTGTGTGAGAGTGTGCGTGTGTGTGAGTGTGCGTGAGTGTGTGTGTGAGTGCGTGTGTGCGTGTGAGAGTGTGCGTGAGTGTGTGAGAGTGTGAGTGTGTGTGAGTGTGCGTGAGTGTGAGTGCGTGTGTGCGAGTGTGTGAGTGTGTGCGTGCGTGTGTGTGCGTGAATGTGTGAGAGTGTGCGTGTGTGTGTGAGAGTGTGTGTGTGTGCGTGCGTGAGTTTGCGTGCGTGTGTGTGTGGGCGTGTGCGTGAGTGTGTGTGTGAGTGCGTGTGTGCGAGTGTGCGTGTGTGTGTGAGAGTGTGTGTGTGAGAGTGTGTGTGTGTGCGCGTGTGCGTGAGAGTGTGCGTGTGTATGCGCGTGTGTGAGTGTGCGTGAGAGTGTGTGCGTGTGAGTGTGTGTGTGAGTGTGTGTGTGAGTGCGTGTGTGCTAGTGTGCGTGTGTGTGTGAGAGTGTGTGTGTGAGAGGGTGTGTGTGTGCGCGTGTGCGTGAGAGTGTGCGTGTGTATGCGCGTATGTGAGTGTGCGTGAGAGTATGTGCGTGTGAGTGTGCGTGCGTGTGTGAGTGTGCGTGTGTGTGCGTGCGTGTGTGTGTGTGGTCCGCATGAGTATGTTCCGTGTGTGTGTCTTCCTAGTGTGAGTGTGTGTGTCGTGCGTCTGTGCGTATGTTCCGTGTGTGTGTGTTGCGCGCTTGCGTGAGTGTGTGGGTGTGTTCCTTGTGAGTGTGTATGTTCCGTGTGTGAGTGTGTGGGTGTGTTCTGTGTGTGTATGTTCCGTGTGTGAGTGTGTGTGTATGTTCCGTGTGGTTGTGGTTTTGGCTCGAGTTATATTTAGGGGATTTTTTCTGCTCAAACGCCCCAACTCCACGCCCAGTGGGGAGAGGGGAGGGGGACGCAGCGGCTCGAGCGAGCGCAGCCTCCTGGGATGTTTGAGAGCCCAACAACAATAACAACAACAACATATGTACGTGTGTCCCCGAGTCTGTCGTCCCTCCTCGATCAGCAAGGTGTAGAAAGTTATCGATGAGTCGTCCCGTGAAGGGACTGCACCGAGCAATGAGCCGCAGCCAAGTGCCATGGACACGGCTGCTCTCTCCTGCTCCCTTGCACACGGGGGACACATTGAGCCCAGTCCTCACACCTAGAGCCGGACCGAGCCAGACCCCAAACCCTGACCCTGACTCTAACCCAGTGATGCTATCCCCCAACCATGACCCTAACCCAGACCCTAAACTTCACCAGGACCCGAGCTCGATCCCACACCCAAACCCCGTGTCCACCTCTGACAGTAACACGATCCCACACCCAAACCCCGTGTCCACCTCTGACAGTAACACGATCCCACACCCAAACCCCGTGTCCACCTCTGACTGTAACACGATCCCACACCCAAACCACGTGTCCACCTCTGACTGTAACACGATCCCACACCCAAACCACGTGTCCACCTCTGACAGTAACACGATCCCACACCCAAACCCCGTGTCCACCTCTGACTGTAACACGATCCCACACCCAAACCCCGTGTCCACCTCTGACTGTAACACGATCCCACACCCAAACCCCGTGTCCACCTCTGACTGTAACACGATCCCACACCCAAACCCCGTGTCCATCTCTGACTGTAACACGATCCCACACCCAAACCCCGTGTCCATCTCTGACTGTAACACGATCCCACACCCAAACCCCGTGTCCACCTCTGACTGTAACACGATCCTACACCCAAACCCCGTGTCCACCTCTGACTGTAACACGATCCTACACCCAAACCCCGTGTCCACCTCTGACTGTAACACGATCCCACACCCAAACCCCGTGTCCACCTCTGACTGTAACACGATCCCACACCCAAACCCCGTGTCCACCTCTGACTGTAACACGATCCCACACCCAAACCCCGTGTCCACCTCTGACTGTAACACGATCCCACACCCAAACCCCGTGTCCATCTCTGACTGTAACACGATCCCACACCCAAACCCCGTGTCCACCTCTGACTGTAACACGATCCTACACCCAAACCCCGCCGCATGCCACGAGAATGTGGAACTTCCACCGCTGCCACGGGTTTCCCGCCCCAGCCTGTGCCTCGTCGCGCTGAGCGCCTCCTGACCCCCCCCCCCCCCCCCAGCTCTCCAGCCTGTGCCTCGTCGCGCTGAGCGCCTCCTGACCCCCCCCCCCCCAGCTCTCCAGCCTGTGCCTCGTCGCGCTCGGGGCTCTGATGCTGAGCGACTCGCACGCCCTCCTCAGCGACGCGGCGACCGTGGCCTCGCTCTGCGTCATGGCCCTGGGCCTCGTCGTCTTCCTCGTCTCCTTCTTCGGCTGCTGCGGCGCGCAGCGCGAGAGCCACTGCATGGTGGCCACGGTGAGGCCCCCACCCCGACCCCCACTCGCGCCGCTCCGGTCGGAGCCGCTCGTCGTGCTGTGCGCTCCGCTGAGGCCTCGCGTGGCCGTCTCCGTCTCTGTGCGCCGCAGTTCTCCGCTCTGATGTTCCTCATCTTCTTCCTGGAGCTCGGGCTCGGAGTCACCGCCTACTTCTTCAGACACCAGGTGCCTGCCCTGCACGCTCACGCTGCCCCGAGCCAGTGGTGGGAATTACACATTCGTATGCCGGTTCCGGTCCATCCGTTAAACAAGCATTATTAACGCTTCTCGCTGTGCGGCGGCCCGCGGGGGTTTTGCGCCCTTAGCTGACGACCCCGGCAAGCCGAGTTAGATCCCTGGCTCTGGCTAACATCGGTGGCGAGTGAAATCTGAACCGGCCACGGACCTCCCTGAGGTCAACTGGACAAAGGTGGCTGGACGTGGTTCTGGCCACACCACCCCATTGTTGTGCTCGCAAACAGCGCTCGACCCTACAGTCTGTTAAAGGCTATCGGAGGATCTCGCATCCCTTTTCTACAAACCAGCGACCTGGCCACAAGTGACAGCCCAACGAAGCGGCTTGTCACGTGGACATTCATAGCAGCAGCCAAATTCTCCAAACGCGTGACGTTGATTCTGAATGTGGAGGGGAAAACCGGAGGACCCGGATAAAAATCCACGCGACAGCGTGGAGAGAGAGACACGCAAGCTCCAAAAATATACAGCAGCAGCAGGTGTCAGGGTCGGGATCGAGCCGCCCACGACCTCCTGCAGGCCAGGCGAGCGAGTGAACATCTCCTGGCCACCGTGGCGCCCACTGGCACATCAGAGCCATGGCAGTGCGGGTGGGGGGTGGCGATTCACCGAGCGGACCCAGAACCAGAAACCGTGAAACTCACGAAAAGGGCCGCGGGCGGGGTTCACCGAATCTTCCCCTTGCGTTACGTCGGCGGCACGGCGCGGCTCCCGCAGTGGAAAGACAACCCCCCGGCGCTACCCACACCGTGCCGGGTTGTCTCGGCACAGCCCCGGCGTGGTTCGGATATGCCGGTGGGAAAATACAAATTGGGTGTCTGCGAGCGGGGTGACGGGGCCGCGTCTCCGACGACGTGAATGACGACGCGTGTGGGGGTGCAGGTGCGTGAGTTGGTGGAGGTGAAGGTGTGGGAGCTGCTGGAGAAGCAGCCCGAGGCGACGGTGGACGATCTGCTGGGGAAGATGCAGACCCAGGTGAGAGCCACGGAGCCGCGGGCAGCGGCGCCACCGTCACGAGCCACGTGCTCTGTCCACTGCTGCATGAAAGCCTCCACATTACTATCGTCGTCGTCACAATGAGCCATTGTCTGTCAACTACCGCATGAAGGCCTCCCCCATGCCATCATTATCAACATCGAGAAGCACGTTCTACCCACTGCTGGCTTGAAACCTCTCCACGCCGTCATCACGAGCCGAGAGAAGCCGCGCTGGTTTTCATAGGCGCTCGCTGACAGCGCTTGTTCCGGCAGTCTGAGTGGGCTACACGGGGGGTCTTTGTCTGGTCTTCGTGCAGCTCAAGTGCTGCGGGGTCACCTCCTTCGACAACTGGTTCACCTCCAGCAACAGCAGCGGCAGCAGCAGCAGCGGCAGCAACAGCAGCAGCAGCGGCAGGGTCCCCGACAGCTGCTGCATCTACCCCCGGGAGCGTTGTGGAGCCCACGTGGATGCGAGCACCGCCTACACAGTGATCTACACCGAGGTGCGGCCGGGTCGCAACCGCTCGCCCCACCCCCCATGCCCGCTCGCCCACGTGCTCACCTGTGCACAAATCAGAAGGGTCACCTGGGCGCTTCCCCTGGGCGCTCACCTGGGCACTCGCTTGAGTGGCTCACCTGGGCGCCCACAGGAACGCGTTGTGTACTGTGTGTGTGTACTCCATGTGGTTGCGCTGCGTGTGTGCTGCGTGTGTACTGTGTGTGTGCTGCGTGTGTGCTGCGTGTGTGTGTGCTGCGTGTGTGCTGCGTGTGTGCTGCGTGCGTGTGTGCTGCGTGCGTGTGTGCTGCGTGTGTGCTGCGTGCTTGTTGTGCCGCGTGTGTGTACTCCAAGTGGTTGCACTGCGTGTGCTGCGTGCGTGTGTACTGTGTGTGTGCTGCGTGCGTGTGTGCTGCGTGTGTGCTGCGTGTGTGCTGCGTGCGTGTGTGCTGCGTGTGTGCCAGGGCTGCGTGTCCGTGGTGGAGTCGATCTTGCTCCAGAACGCGTTGCTCGTGGGCGGCGTTGCCCTCGGCCTGGCGCTCATCCAGGTGATGTTCATGATGGACGCTGATGATGACGATGGACGCTGATGATGATGGATGCTGATGATGACGGATACTAATGATGGATGATGATCGACGCTGCTGATTATGATGGATGTTAATGATGTTGGACGCTGCTGATGATGATGACGGATACTAATGATGGATGATGATGATGACGGATGATGACGGTGAAAGTGATTGCTTGTGCCCTGCCATGAAAGCCCAGAAGCACAGCATCGGAACTTCCCAAGGGACGGCAGTGGGGGAGGGGGGGGCCTGAGATGTGAATCTTTTAGACAGCGCCCCGCCTCCTGTGGGTATCCTGGGATAGATGCCACCACAGTCCCAGCTGTGAGATGAGCCGCTGGCCCGGCCAGACTCGATCATGAAATCTAAGACTTTCACAGCTTTGCTCCGCTTGGCTCTCATCAGCTCGCCCTCTGCCCTGCCTCCTGCAGATCATCAGCATCATCCTCGCCTGCTGCCTCATGAAGGGAATCCGCGACTTCCACAAATACGACGTCGCCGAATTGGAGCCATGGCCCGCCTCCAAGTGGGACCACGGGGTCACCCTCGAGTGACCCCCCCTCACCCCCCGCTGGGGTCACCCTCGAGTGACCCCCCCCGCCCCCCCCCCCCCCGCTGGGGTCACGGCCGCTCCTTCCATGGATGAGACCGGGTTTGGCGATTGAGTCTGTGGTTTGAATGCATCTGTGCGGCGCTATAAGTGTTACCCCCTCTGTATGCGTGCTGAGATGACCTCCCGAGGTCACGGGCAGCCTTCCCAGTGGAGCAGCAGCAGCAGCAGCGGCAGCAAGTAGCAAGCAGCAGCAGCAAGCAGCAGCAGCAGGCAACAGCAGCAGCAGCAGACAGCAGCAGCAGCAGGTAGCAGCAGCAGCAGGTAGCAGCAGCAGGCAGCAGCAGGCAGCAGCAGCAGGCAGCAGCAGCAAGCAGCAGCAGCAGCAGGCAGCAGCAGGCAGCAGCAGCAGCAAGCAGCAGCAGCAGCAGCAGCAGCAGGCGCAGGAGCAGCAGCCCCCTCCTGAGAAGCCCCCAGACCCCGGACGGACCCCAGCCGCGTCCGTCCGCCTCGGCGACCACCGGAAATATCTCCACCCCCGGCACACCGCATCCAGTATACGTCTCTCCCGCTACGGCCGCTTCTCCTCACGAACCTGACAACTCCCGTCGATGGGCAATCCGGCAAATATTCCGTGAGGGATGAATCCCTTGGGAAGCCGCGGTCCGTGCCCCGACGCGCCGCTCGCGGTCATCTCGTGGCGTGACCCCCTAGCGGTCGCGGGCGGCCGCGCTCGCACGGTTTCCTGGTCGCGCCGCGTCTTGTTCGGTGCGAAACGTCGGACATCGTACACCGCCGCACGCAGCACGACCCGCAATTCACGTGGCAGCGGGAGCCACGTGGTGCGCATCGTCACGCAGCTGTGCGGCTGTGGCGCGGCGGCGAGGCTCGTGCCTCGCAGCAAGGAGAGCCTGGGTTCGATTCCCGACCCGGGCGCCCTTCTGTGCGGAGTTTGTGTGTTCTTTCTCCCCCCGTTCTGTGTCGGGTTCCTCCCAGAGCTAAAGCAAAACCCCACACACAATGTGACACCCGGTACTGGGGCCAACACATCTCAATGCTGAGAAATGACCTGCAAATTACTCAACTGGGATCACACTCAGCAGTGAGGCTATCCCGGGTAAACAGGCGAAATAATAAAATGTTTACGATATTCTTCATTGTACTTTTGATACGAGTGAGTGAGTGGATACAATATTGGCTGCCAAAGAGTTGGTGTCGTACCCAGTGTCTGCGAATCTCCCCACGGGCCCCAGTGTAATGCACCGTCTCCAGCTACAGTTAAGGCTCTGTGACCTCGCTCGCTTCTGAGGATGGGCTATTGCCTGAACCGTCGGCATATTCAATATTCTGTTTGAAGGCAGAGCTTATGTCACATGTGGTGCGTCCTCTTGAGAGATACAAAGATGCACAGAGACACAGGGCAGCTGGAGACATATTGAATACCCAGAGGCCTACAGGAATGAATGTCTATGTAGTGAATCCACTGCTGGATGAGGGGTCCATCCTGCACCACGCGGGTCGTGGCAGTAATTTGACCATACTTCACCGCGCTGGTCAGTGCGGGTTGGTGAAGGCTCTGAGCATAATCGACGGTGTCGGATTATCCTCGTAGCTACAAACGTAGCTTCACATGTAGCTACAAACGTAGCTTCACATGTAGCTACGTTTGTAGCTACAAACGTAGCTACAAACGTAGCTTCACATGTAGCTACAAACGTAGCTTCACATGTAGCTACGTTTGTAGCTACAAACGTAGCTACAAACGTAGCTTCACATGTAGCTACAAACGTAGCTACATTTGTAGCTACATTTGTAGCTACGGGTCCCGCACTTTCAAGGGCCCCGCGCTAAATGCTTTCAAGCTATCAATTCTGGTTCAGTGATTCGGCACTTGCTCTGTTACTATAATACTATACTGCCTTTAACTTATACAAACGACTGGATGTTTAAGGTTAGCGATTTGTCGTATTATCTGGCTGTATAGCAAATAAAAAACACAATGTCTTTACTATGAGAATAGATTTTCCCCTTTTTTCTGGCAACAAAACAGGTGTTCAGATGTTAAAACACCAAACTGAAACTTTTTACAAGGCATCATGTCTGCATTAACCACAATACTTGTGGTCAGAATGCAAACAAAAAACATACTCTGATAGTAGATGATGCATTGTCCTTGAAATTGATTGGTCCACACCAGAGACGGCTTTCTTTTGAGCCTCGTCTCAAACGGTGTTCGACCAGATGATGCCAAAAGGCGTAGTAACAATAACTTTATTATGCAAGTTAAACATTTGTGTTTTAATATTTACGTGTTTTTTATTATTATTTTAGGACCCCTTCATAACATAAGCTACAGGGCCCCGCACTAGCTTCATCAGGCACTGATAATCGACATTGGAGCTTAGTAAAGTACCACAAGGTGATGTTTTTATTTTGCTGCCCGCCAAGTAAACTCAGCGGCGACTTGTATGACAACATCTCTGTGTGTGCGCGCTCGGTCGCCCACACGAGCGCTGTGCAGGCCCAACCCTGCTGAGGTTTCTGAGATCTAATGGGCGTGTGGATAGACGGAGACCATGAGCCCCACGGATGTAGAGGATGGAGAGACACTCCGGCGTGCGTCCCACGATCGACAAACGGCGCAGTTCACCTGCTGCTTGAGGGCTCCACTCGGCACATCAACGCTCCAGAGTCGATAAAATGGGTACCCCGGGGAGTCTCAGGAGTGGCTTTGCTCGACGGACAGAGCGTCGGCTTCGTCACAAAGGGCGCGTGCGACTCCAGTGACGTCAGGACCCCCCACGTGGGAGGGGCGCCCTACCCACGTGGTTACAAAGGACTTGGAGCAATGCGGCTTCGCGTGATTAGGCGCGTTACCTCCTCCCCGACTAATCGCCGACCCGCCTTGTACATGCCCGCCTACCTACCAACCCGTACCCCTACCCACCTCCTCACCCACCCATCCACCCACTCGTCCACCTCCTCATCTACCCACCTATTCACCGACCCACCTACCCTTCTACGCACCCACCTACTCACAAATCCACCTACCCATCCACCCACTCGTCCACCCACTCACCTACCGTCCCACACACTCATCCACCCACCCACCGATCCACCCACTCACCTACCCACCTACTCACCGACCCACCCAGCCTATTCATGAAGTGTTTTTTTTTCTGAGCTATTCGGTAGATAATAGAGTTCATAGTAGCGAAGAATGCTCGTGCTGTTAATATTTAATGATGGATTCAATAAAGTGACAAAAATACAACTCGTGGCTGTGTGTTCAGTGTGGAGTGTTGACTGCTGCTCGTGGCAGAGTACAGACAAGTGAGTGCAGGTGATACCCGGTGAGTCCAGGTGAGTGCAGGTGAGTGCAGGTGAGTCCAGGTGAGTCCATGTGAGTGCAGGTGAGTCCATGTGAGTGCAGGTGAGTGCAGGCAGAGACGCAACTATGGAGGGAGAGCGCGCCAGAGTAATGCGACGCATCGGGGGCCAGCCGGCCACAAGCAGGCCCTGGTCTCACAGATAAACAAGCAGCAACGTGGTTAGAGTGTTTTTCGAAATTCATTAAAAATAACCTGCGGTCTCCCATGGACCAAGCCCGCGTACCGCATCTGGCTATCGGCATACCAAGAGCAGCAGGAAGTTGCGCGCTCCACCCCCTTTGAGGAAATCCTAGAGCGATGGGGCTGTCACGAAAGCAAGGCGCACGGTAACTTGTGAGCATTGCGACCTTCACATCTCTCTGTGGACACTGTCACCGCGAGGCTGTCCTCCCCGAAACACAATACACGATGCAACTACAATGCTCCACAGAGTTATAGCCGACACGCTATCGTAGACGTGTTAATCCATCCGTGGCTATTTCAGTAAACGTGAGTCTAGAGAAAGGAGAGGGCCCCGCAGTCGGATCGTGCAGAGCCCCCCCCCCCCCCCCCCCGGTGAAATATCGTTGTGCCCCTGAGTGCAGGTGAGTGCAGGTGAGTGCAGGTGAGACCAGGTGAGTGTAGGTGAGTGCAGGTGAGACCAGGTGAGATCAGGTGAGATCAGGTGAGACCAGCTGAGTGCAGATGAGACCAGGTGAGACCAAGTGAGACCAGGTGAGTGCAGGTGAGACCAGGTGAGTGCAGGTGAGACCACGTGAGACCAGGTGAGACCACGTGAGACCAGGTGAGTGCGATTGAATGGGATGAGCATGAACGATCCTCCCCGTGGTTGTGGTAGGCAGCGGAGTAAGCAGGACAACAGCGTGCGGCATTACCTGGTGGCAAGTTCCATTACCTGGTGGCAAGTCCCATTACCTGGTGGCAAGTTCCATTACCTAGTGGCAAGTTCCATTACCTGGTGGCAAGTTCCATTACCTGGTGGCAAGTCCCATTACCTGGTGGCAAGTTCCATTACCTAGTGGCAAGTTCCATTACCTGGTGGCAAGTTCCATTACCTGGTGGCAAGTTCCATTACCTAGTGGCAAGTTCCATTACCTGGTGGCAAGTTCCATTACCTGGTGGCAAGTTCCATTACCTGGTGGCAAGTTCCATTACCTGGTGGCAAGTTCCATTACCTAGTGGCAAGTTCCATTACCTGGTGGCAAGTCCCATTACCTGGTGGCAAGTTCCATTACCTGGTGGCAAGTCCCGCCGTGGCAGGTGTCACTTGGCCACCAGGTGGCAGTGAAGCCCCATCCCAGAGTCGCCTTCTCGTCCTCCAGGCAAGTTGGGCTGTTGTTCATGATTACGTGTCAACACGATTGCTCATGATTCCGTGTCAACACAATTGCTCATGATTCCGTGTCAACACAATTGTCAATCCGTGGTGAACTCTACACAGAGTGAACTTCGAACGGGCGAGCGCGCGTTAGGGAGAGGGCGTGGGAATTCGTGAGGCTGTGACGGTGGTGCTCGTTTACGGCACCTGCCCCAACAGTCTGTGAAGGCTGCACGGGGGATCTTTGTCTTTGGTGGTGGTGAAGGACGCCAGGGTGGCGCTAACAGCTGCGCAGCGAGATGAGCCTGGGCTCGAATCTCGACTCGGCGCCTGTCTGTGTAGAGTGATTGTGAGTAGAGCGTGTGTGTAGTGTGTGTGTACGAGTGTGTGTGTAGAGTGTGTAGTGTGTGTAGAGTGTGTGTTGTGTGTGTGTGTAGAGTGTGTGTAGTGTAGAGTGAGTGTAGAGTGTGTGTAGTGTGTGTGTGTAGAGTGTGTGTAGTGTAGAGTGAGTGTAGAGTGAGTGTGTAGTGTGTGTAGAGTGTGTGT